GGAGAGAAGTCGTCGAGAGCAGTAAGTCGTACTCATCAAGCTTACAAGAGTGCATTTACTGACACGTAGCTNCAGATGGTTTGACAAAGTTGTTTGCCGAGATCAAGCAAAAGAACACGATCGCAGAGTTGTCTCCCGAGTACAAGAAGTTTGCCGAATGGCTTCGTATCGAGTAAGTGCCCGCCATCCCTGGTTTGATCGATACAAAGCTAACTCACATATCTAGGGTGGCAGCCGTGATCTACCACTTGTTCCTTGCCGAAGACAACAGTCCCGAACTGTTTGCCCAAGCCAAACGCATCCACTCCTTGATACCCTACACTGCACTCAAGCAGGTCATTCGCTTTGCAAACCCGGCTGCTGTCATGGCTGGTGTGCTCGACCTATTCCTCGCTCAGCCTTTCGGCGCCAAGTCATTACTTCAACGCATCTTCTCCTTGGCATTGGGAGACAGCATCAGAACTGTTCAAAAGAGTATCGACGGACTTGCTGCTAAGATCGATGAGCCTGTGTTCTGCGAGAAGATCAAGAATTACAACCAGTGCGACCAGGATCTCAAAGACGCCATCCGAAGAGAAGCTGAACAAGATGACATTGACCTGCTTGTGGCCGTTCTTCGCAGCGAAGACATCAAACCAGAGTTGAAGCCTGAGGAGATTGGCAAAGCATTCAACGCTTATGTGGCATGGAACAGTGCAGTCGAGAACGTGAGTATTGAACTTGTATTATGTCGCACACCGTTTTGCTAACCAGAGTCCAGANTTGACGAGGAGCTGAGATCAGGTGCTGAGACGTTTGCCCACTTGAAGCAATTACTGAAGCTCTACACGCGCCAACGGGATAAGACTATGATGTTGCGAATGATCGAAGAGCCCACAACTCTGCAACTCTTCCGCGATCTCTTTACCATCTTCTACGAGCCTCTCGTAAGAGTCTACAAGTCGGCCAACGTCTACAATAGCATCAGCGATTTCGCCCGCTTCATGGATGATATGATCTCCGTGGTGGAGAAGTGTCAACGACAAGACGTTTCTGCCGATCCTAACCAGACGGTCCAAGCCTTTATCGACCTGTGCGCAAGACATGAAGACTCGTTCTACAAATTTGTACACGAAGTGCATCTTCACGACAACGGCTTGTTCGACCAACTCATGGGCTGGATAGAAGGCATTCTTTCATTCCTTCGCAATGGTCCTCGCGGTGGCGGTAAACTGGACATGAACGCCCTCTTCCAAGGCGCTGTTGAGATGAGACAAATCGACAAGGATGCCGCTGTTCGTGAGATAAATTCTCTGATCAAGTGGCAAGAAAAGCGCAAGAAGTGGCACCAAGACAAGACACGCCAGAAGATGGCCACAGGCGACGCACCCAGTGGCGTGCCCGACGGCGGCGCCTCGGACCTCATCAAATCATTCAAACCCGACGACTTTGGCCTCAATGCCCTCGACATTCAAGATCTCAATGACGATGAAGACGAGTACAGTTCCACCGACGACGATGAGGAAGACGCCGACCCCATTGCTGCGGAGAGGAAGCGCAGGGCCAGAAGACAGGACTTCCTTAGGAGGAGTGCTGGCGAGCCCGTCAAGCCTGACATTGTCGAGGTTACAAAGATGCGTGAGGGCTTTTTGAGCATGTTGAGGATGGTTTTGGCCGAGTAGAGGAGGTTGCCAGTATCCCTAGCCTTGTTTCTTCTTTTCATGAGTACGATAGAGGTAATTTCTATTAATACAGATGGAGGGTTCTGATGGACCCCTTATCGTTCGTCATGCTTCCTTTATCATAGATTATCTTCTTATGTCGATGCGTTTGGTCACTCGACAGGGAATGACCAAAAGTGTGAAGAAGCCTGCGTTCAAAGATGTTGATTATTTTGGTATATCAAAAGCCTTTTTAATCTATAATCATGATTCGAGTACTCATTGTCCAGGTAGCTACTCTGTCTTGAGATCGATTCTTCCGCCTTGGAAATCAGGTCTGAAGGCCACGGCACCGCCCTTTGTCAACTCGCGCAGAGCCATGGTGGCATATTGGGAACTGCCCAACTGCATCTTGATCACCACGGCCAATTTCTGCTCTTGCTGTTGTGCATCTGCTGTTGTCGTCTTTGACAAGTCATCTTCAGTCATGGTGACGTCTCCGTGTGTGTTTTGCGCATCCAGTGACTTTTCAAGACTCTTGTCTGAGCCCAGCAGGGCCTCGGCACCGCCCAAAGCGTCCGCATTACCCTCTTCCTTTGCCTTTGCAATCAGTTTGTCCAAATCGGTTTGGATGAGTTGTTCTTCGTCGAGCAAGTAGGGTTTTACTTCCCAGGCCAGTCCTTGGGGTTTTGCCATGAGTTTGCGGTAGGAGCCTGATAGACTCACGTCTCTCCATTTCCTGCGCATGTCTCTGGGGTTGAGCTTTCCGCCTTGTTCGCTGCCCATGTATTCTGTGTAGTAGGCGCCGAGTTCGTTGCTCGGGTACATGACGTCGAAGCCGGGTAGGGGCAGCACCAAGTCGAAGATGGTGTATTTGCCGCTGGAAGCTTCTTCGGGGGTTAATGCGCGGGCGCGCTCGAATTTGTCTTCGAGGGAGGTGGCAGTGTCGTGGGGGGCCGGGCGGACGATGATTTCGCCGCAGTCGTCGATGGTCTCTTCGTCTTGGTGGGCGTTGTAGGCTTCCTTGTCTTTGTGTTCGTGGACGAGGACGAGGTCGCCGGCGACGACTTTGTTGCCGTAGAGTTGGTATCTGCGGCCGGCTACTGTGTTCCAGACTAGCGATTGATAGGCGTGCACGTACATGAGACGTAGATTGCGAGGGATGTTTTGGAGAGCGCCTTGCCAGTCCTTTGCGCGGAGCAGTTCTCCTGATTTGCGGTCTACCCAGCCCAGGTGTCTGATCAGGGCATTTTCGGCTTGGAAGCGGCGAGGGAGTTTGTCGAGAGCGGCTCCTGACTTCTTTGTCGTCTGCCAGATGTGCAGAGCCTCGGCGCGAGCAATGTCGTCGTGCGAGATTTTGGTTGATGCCTGGTCCGGGTTCGAAGCAGCTGCCAAAGCCTCGGGGCTGAATGACAGAATGTCTTCGACAGCGCTTTCCAGGTCACCACGTAGCATCTTTCTGCCGATGGTATCCGTTGAGATGGCGAAGGTACCGAAACGCTGGAGACCGTAGTAGTTGATGAAGCCGCGCTCTTGGAATTGCGAGACGGCGTCATGAGTAATCTTCTTTGCATTCTCGAGCTGTGCAGCCGCGTCGCCTTGCTGGCCAGGGAATGTGCAGTCACGGAGGGTGATGGTGAACTCGTTTCCGTAAAGATCACCCAAATCCAGACCCTGGGGCATGTACTTGAAGCCACCGAGTCTGGCTTGTCTGAGGGTGGGGTTGATGCCCTGTAGACGATCGGCAGCGATACGGTAGGCACTCACACGCTGAACGGTGACACCTCTGCGGTCTTTTGTTCCGGCGAATTGGAAGTTCTTGACGTGTAGCTTGAGCTGACTGGCAATCCAGTAGAGTACCTCCATGGTATCCTTGTTCTCCTTGTACAGGGTGAAATGTAGATGCTCACCACCAAGCTCTTCCCAACCAACCTTGCCCTTGGGACGGGCGTTCTTTCCTTTTGAGCCAGGAAGAGCGCGAGCGTTGATCTTGTTGGCCTGAGCAGCGATCTTGATGGCGATTGTGTTGTCGTCGTTGGTCATGGTGTCTACCCTGCCATTGAAGATGCGACGGACGTTGATGTGAGCATCTGTGCGCATTTGCTTGTCCTCGATAACGTCGGATTGCAGACTGCCATGGTCTCTGGTCTTGCGCTCTGGGCGGGCGATGGATTTGGCGTAGAGGTTGCAGATGTCGGTCGTCGTCTTTTCGCCAAAGATGGTCTTGAGAATATCGACGTCGGTGGAAGCAATCNNTGTAGCTTGTCAGATGTGCGTTTCTTCGCGTGTTGCAATTACGCATACCGAAGCAATGGCTTCTTCGATGCGCTCCTTGACAGCGAACTCTGCATTGTCAGGCTTGGGCTCGTCCTCCTTCACAGGCGCAGGTTCGGCCTTGACAGGTTCGGCAGCCTTCTCCTTGTCCTCCTCTGCTTGCACATCCTTCTCGACCTTCTTGACAGCCTTGACGGCGGGTCCGGTCAACTCGTCCAAGTGGAAGACAGTCCCGTCGGTCGAGATTTCGTTGACCAGGAAATCCGTGTAGCGCTTCTTGACGACACCTCCGAAACCAGCAGCTTGAGACGCAAAAACGGTGATTCCAGCACTCTTCTCTTGTTCCAGTTGTGCTGCTACAGCCGCGTCGACTTCCAGTAGTGATGCTGAGATGGAGTCCTCGGGACCTGTAAGGCGGACCTTCTTGCGCGGTTGTTCGTCCGACATTTTGGATATGATGATTATTCTCAAGGTCGAGTCTTCGAGTACGAAACCGAGATGGCACTTTTTCGGGGTTTGCTCTGTTTGTCTTTGATGACGGCATGTACTCCGACCGTGCCTTCCCAATCTCACTCCTCCATCTCCTCTTCCCTGTGCAACATGACTGTCGCAATACACAAAGTTGACTCAGACAGATCTTTGCTTTGCAGAGACATGAGCCTGCTGTCAAAGCTCATCTGAGATTGGGTAGGAGTGCCGGCTACAGCATTCGACCAAAGCCCACCTCGAACCGGCAGCAGTTCTCCTTGCTGGAGACCAAGAGTAGTCGTGTTGATATCTTTGTGAGTTTGACACACTGTTCGCGACTTCTAGGGCTGCGGTTCACGAAACTTCCATAGTCGAAAAGAATGCGTAAGTTTTCGTGCTTTTATACTGGTGGTGAGACTTAGATGTTGGCTTGATCGTGCCTGCCTCTTTCAAATCCAGCTTGTCTCGCAGCGCAAACACTGTCGCTTTCACTCAACCAAGTTATCACGCACCTCACTAAGTTCATCAATCAAACCTCACACTTCTCCCCTCACCCAGCCACCACACTCATCCCAGACATCACACCCACCACCCAACACATCATTCGTATCGTGCATCATGCCTAAGAGCAAAGCCCCCACTCACACTGAACACAATGTCTATCTCACAACCTCAGTCACCTTCGACAACAAAGCCGATGATTTTGGCAGACTTCAGGTCTACCAAGCCTTTACATCACTCGACGAGGCCAACGAGTTCTGTGTCGCCAAGGCTGATGAGCTTGCTCTGGCTCTTGACATTGAGGCCCCCGAACCGAAGCTGAGCCATTACACCAACGACGGCGCCTTCAGGATGGAGCTTCCCTTGAAGAAGCGTAACAGAGATGTCGTGGTCGAAACCCTCATCATGCCTCTCATGGGCGGCATCATTATGCATGACAAGCCCGTCTCGCGCAAGACACCCAAGTCGACAAAAGCATCCAGATCAAACTCTACAAAGTCAAAAGCCAAGAAGTCACAAGTACCCGGTGAAGAGGACGAGGATAATGACCACGACGTCGACATGGATAGCGACCCTGTCTCCCCCAAGACTACCAAAACCACAACTCGCAAGAACTCCAAGGCTTCAAGTACCGCCATAGCCGCAGAGCAACGTGACTCTGTTGTCGACCCCAACATTGTCACTGAGGACGACATCGCCGCAGCCCCCAGTGGTAAATCTGGTTGTCTCAACTATGGATCGTACACTATCATCGGACATCACAAGTATTGGAGCGAAGCACAGTTCAAGGTCATCGTCAAAACGTTCGGAGGCAAAGTCAACAAGACGTTGCCCGTGTACAACAACGATCCGACCCATACTCTTGTGCTTGGCTCTGACGCTCCCTCGAGACTCCTGGGCAGGATCGCACAAAAGGAGTTTAAACCCGTCACTCCTGATTCTGTCATTGCTCAGATTGGCTACATGTCGGGTCCCGATGCTGTTGGCCGAATCACCAGCGAGGAAGTCGCCAAACTCTGCAAGAAGGTCCCAGGAAAACCCGTCGCCAGAACGAGAACCGTTAAGAAGGAGGAGTCTGATAGCGACGTGGATGTCAAAGACGCCAATGGCTCGGATTTCGATGAGAATTGAGCTTGTTTAATCAGGTTTCTACCGTATTGACGCTGAGGAAGACGTTGAAGGACTGCAAGGTAAGGAGGGTTGCAGCATGTACCGACAACTATCGTCGAAGAACATTGCTAGGGGTAAAAAATCGTGGCTACCAGGAATCGCTTCACGAAAGCTCTCAGTACAGATAGCTTTCGTTTCGTATTCGCCAGAAGAAGCATCCATCATTATCATTCAACAGTATGTGCTGCAATCAGTGTATCATCCCAACATGTGCCATGTCATTGAAGAATAATGAAGACGACGTTGATGCTTCGCAATGTGCTGCGTCATGATCAGACTTTCGATCGGCGCTCCCGCAATCTTGACCCTGGACCCTCCCGAGTCCCAACGATCTCGTCCCCTGCTACATCCTGTTCGGGATGATGCTTCAACTTGATCTACTTGTTTGGATGTCGTATCTCGTGCGTTGCTTTAGCAAATGCATGTGCGTGGTGTTGTCAGTGAGGACATCAAGGAAGAAAGTCCGTCGCTTCTTCAGACTCGGGCGTGTGCCGCATTCTCGTGCAAAGCTCGGCTTCATGTGTTCTGTTGACTCAACATGAAGTATTCACCGAGCTTCGTGAAGAACACTGTTGACACTTTCGCTGCAGGATGATAGGCTGATGAATCTTGTGTCACCTGCAACCTCGGTATGGGGTTCTCTACGCAAGATGTCGTAGGTCCTCAAAGGCTGCCGGACAGATCTTTCGTGCGAAAGAGCGGATTTTTACCGATTCGGTTCGTCGCTATCTCGGTGGATCCTTGATAGACGCAGTTTTGAAGCTGTTCCATCTTTGGCGAACGCATCATTGTAGATCTCTGAAGATCTTTGAAGGTCACTGTTTTTCTATCTTCCTTCTTTCTCAACACATAGCGAGCCATATTCTCTCAACTACTTATCCTTCCACCTTCTCATTCCTCTACGCGACTGCAATTTTTGAAAACGAAACATCCATAATTTCTCTACTGGGCTTGCGACAGCTGCAATACTTTGAATCCGAATATCTGCTTGATTCTGCTTGAAGCACACGGATCCTGGACCAGCCATCATGGCTAGCACATCAAACGACGTGGACTATCCATCGCCGGAGACACCATCAGAAGGCCTTCCAACACCAGGAGAACATGCACGTCTTCATCACCTACTCGCTATGGTCGATGAGCCAGAGCAACCGCCTTATATTCGATCCCGCATGCATTCGATGACGCCTACGCTACACGAGGACTACAACGACCGCCGCAGCTCAAGAACCACGAAAAGATATTCTTACAGCTCAATGAATGAGAAGGAAGTAGACAACCGCGAACACATGATCCAGCAAAAGTATGCCGAACGTCTTTGCTCCAAGTGCAAACACCTGGATCGGGATCAGGAAGCAGCGCTGGAGGCAATGCAAATCGTACCGCCTGAAAAGGAAGAAGATAGTAAGATTGTCACCTGGGATGGCGAACATGATCCGAAGAAGCCGATGAACATGTCCGAGGCACGTAAATGGATGATAGTCATCTCGACTGGCTTGATGACTTTCTGTGTTTCGTTTGCCAGTTCAGTCTTCTCGACTACGACGTTCGTAACGGCAGAACTGTTTGGTGTTAGCAGTGAGGTCATGATTCTGGGTCTTTCGCTATATGTGCTTGGCTTTGCTTTCGGTAAGTTGTTCGTCGTTATTGTTTTTTTTTTTTTGAACGAGCTGCTAAGGAATTTACAGGGCCCTTGATCTGGGGACCACTTTCTGAAGCATTTGGCCGCACTCGTCCTCTCTTTGCTGGAATGATCATCTTCTGTATCTTCCAAATTCCTGTCGCCGTCGCTCAGAACCTGCAAACAATCTTTATCTGTAGATTCTTCGGTGGAGTTGCTGGCTCCGCTCCTCTGGCAATCGTCGGAGGCATGTTTGTCGATTTCATGGAGCCAATCAACCGTGGTGTAGCCACAAGTGTCTTTGCTGGAGCAGTTTTCGCTGGCCCCGTAGCCGGACCTGTCGTTGGCTCTTTCATCACATACAGCTACCTCGGATGGCGGTGGACTGTCTGGATTACCCTCATCATGTCTGCTTTCTTCACGATTCTCGCTTACCTGATGACACCGGAGACTTACGAACCCGTCTTGCTAGCGTGGAAGGCCGACAAGCTCCGTCACGAAACCAAGGACTGGGCCCTGCGTTCCAAGAGCGAGGAAGATCCTCTCAACAGCGACACAATCGTCAACAAGTATCTGATGAAGCCGCTCATCATGATTGTCAAGGAGCCAATTTTGATTATCCTCACACTTTACATGAGTCTTGTTTACGGAATTCTGTATCTGACATTTGAAGCCTACCCCATCAGTTTCGAAATGGATCGCGGTTGGTCTCCTGGTCTCGCCTCTCTACCCTTCATCGCAATCTTCATTGGAGTCGTTCTCGCATGCGCCACCATCGGAATCTTCAGCAAGACCTGGTACGCCAAACGCCTCATCGAATCTGGCAAACTCAATCCTGAGGATAGACTCCCACCCATGATCGCTGGCTCCTTGATCCTTCCCATCGGACTATTTTGGTTTGCTTGGACTTCGCACCCATCAACTCATTGGGCCCCTCAAGTTGTTTCAGGCATTTTCATCGGTCTGGGCATCATCTTGATCTTCATGAGCGGTGTCACATACATGGTTGATGTGTACTTGCTCAACGCCAACAGCGCTATTGCCATCAACACATTCATCAGATCTGCGGTAGCCGCTGGATTCCCCATGTTTGCCACGTACATGTACAATGGCCTTGGTGTGGACTGGGCGACTTCGCTGTTGGCGTTTGTGTGTATTGCACTCATTCCTTTCCCGCTGATCTTCTGGTTCTATGGCAAGAAGATTAGGAGTTGGAGCAAGTTTGCTTTTAACCTTGGTTAGAAGGGTTGAGCGTTATTGCCTTTTCTTGTGCTGGAGACAGTCAGAGAGGGGTGAACTGTGAAGTTCTGACTGTCCATGGCGAATGGGAAGGTGCGATGCTCATGGAACGAAAAGACGAGCATTTTGATGAATTTACGACCACTTTTTCCATATACAACTTTGGTTTGTATGATAGATCTATTTAGAATATTTCGATTGAACAAACATCAGACAATATACTTTACATCAACCCGAGCGTACCTGGCGAAGCCCATGGTTGGTCAACTCTCTTGAATCAACCTCAAACTAACTCACTCCAAGATCTGAGGTCACAGCCGGATGACTCCAAGAACTTTTATGACTCTGCTCGTCATCACAACCCACATAAAAAAAGCCGGTTCTTCCTTGTTACTGCTCTTCTACTTGCCCGTACTGTGAGAAAATCTTGTATCAGGCAACCATGCGCTTCTCGAACCTCTACGTCGCATTCACGGCCATGGCTGCCTCAGTCTATGGCCAACCTAAAGACTCCAGTCCTGACGAGGTCAGACCAGGCCACATGGAAGACATCTCCCTGCTGCCCTACGAGANNCTGTAAGCCTCTTTCATGAAGCCCGGGACCCATCACCGCTAACACCCCTTACAGCAACGCTGCATCAAACTCCACATGCCTCTCCCCTGGGTCGACTACGAAAAACAACTCGACCTCTTCTGCGACCACTCCACCGGCGCCTGGCACCAACAGATCCCTGAATGCATTCAAGAAGAATTCCCTTCTGATCCCACAGCCGCAGTCGAGCAGTACAACACCTTCAACACTGCCCTCTGCACCGGCTGGGCAGGTCCCGAGACGCCCATGACAACTGTACTCTCAGCCGACGGCAGCGCAACAACCTCCACAATCTTCCCCACTCAATCGCAGCAAAAAGATAGATATCAGTCGCCGGAGTTTACGCCCAGGCATTCTGTATACACCAGTCATGCCTGCTTGAATGGGAAACAGGGGTGTCATACGGCTACTATTGGAAGAAAGACCTATGTGGTCAAGACCAAGAGTAGTGAGTGGAGGAAGCCGACGCATAGATTGTTGGCTAGTACTACGCAGTGGGGTGGGAGTACGAGACCGGCTCGTACGAGGGCTAGAGCCACATGCTCGTGATGGAGGGGAGGAGCCTTGTCTTCTGCTGTCTCTGTAGCGATGTTCTTGTCTGGCGAGCAATCCTGAGATTCTATAACACGCGATGTCACTGTATCTAGCCATGGGAGAGCGATGGGTCATGCTCCGACAACATCCTGCACATCAGTGGACTTGTTGTGATCTCCCTAAAGCCAGACTTCCACCTCGCTCACGCACAGAATACACGTATCGTCCAAGCCAGAAACCTTCTTTTCGTTCATCGGGGCGTACAGATCCGTAGACAGCATGTACGCATAATGCCAGATCGTGTCGTATTGGACCAAGTTGGCGTCGTCCCAGCTCTGCTCGACATGACTATCATCGTCGGATGTCAAGGGTCCACTCACAGGACCCATGAAGCGCACCGTCGCTCCGGCGGAATTGCCAAATCCCTTCCTGAAGTCTTCCATGTAGTCGTCATGAATTGCACTGCTTCCCTTGTACTTGAACAGGTTGAAGAGGCTGACCGGTTCATTGACGAGCTCGACAGGGAGTGCATTAGACAGAAATTCGGCCATAGATTGGTCGAGGTGAAGCTCGCCGGGTCCAAGCGAGCCATGTTTTGCTGAGGTTATGGCCGACTTTGGTATGTCACCTCCCTGCCATTCTTGAGGCAACAAAGGTGTTCTGTCAGAAGCCTTGGGCCGAGATAGCGAGTCAGACTGAAGCTGCTCGAATTGATCCTTTGGCAGTGAGAAGGGAATGGTGAGGTGGGCTTTGACAAGTTTCAGAGTTTCACGTGGCAGCTTCGGCTCCATCGTCACCAGGAACAGATGCCAGTCATGAGCAAGCAACCGATCTCTGTCGAGGAAGTGAGGTTGATGGACCCAGCCGTGAGGCCTACCCTTGATGATCAGACCTTCCGTGATCGTTCGTAGCACATCCTGGGCTGTACTGCCCTTTTGGAGGGTGATGAGATGGATGTGAAGTTGCCGGGATGCCATCGTGTTAGACGTGACTGTAGTTAGAAGGTTGATGTGGATGTAAGAGACAGGGAGAGAAGAGGGTGATTGTACGGATATGCTGCGTAGTTTTTCTGTGATCTCTACATGTCTTCTACCCCTCAATTGTCTGCCGATGAGCGTCCAAGTTGCTTGTCGAGCATGCCATCAATTCCGAACGTGCGGTGACACTGTGCGTTGCTTCCAAGAAGAAATCGATCATGCATGTATCAATGACTGGGAAGCTCAACACAGAGCTTGCTTCGAACATTTGACGGATGATGGCGTCTAATATTACTCGATTGGGTCGGGCATGCTAGCAGATATGGAAGGAGCGATGTCGGGGCAGCGAATCGAAAGGACGTTTGGTCAGCCAAAGCATCTTGACCAATCAGAGAAATGGCGATTTCCCGCGCGAAAGTGTGGGGTAACAAAACACCTTCCGAAGCTTCATCTCGAACAAGACACACTCTCTCCAAGCAAGATTGAACAGGTGAGTGACTGGCACCGAGCAAAAGCCAGAGTATGAAGCTATGCAATCAGATGCTCAACAAGACAATCTATCCTTTGTATGGTGGCTGAGGTTTGCTCTCGAGGAAGATTCGGGCAGAGATGTGCCGAGGATAAAATCAAAGGTTAACTCCGCATCTGGGCCGTCTGGTGTGGGGATTCAGCGACATGTTCCCTATTCCCTTGTTCCGAAGAGGGAGAGAACAGCGACTGTTGACCAATACTTCTAGCCCCGAGCGGCCTGCTTCTTATCCATTCTTTCTTTCCGCCTCCAGGTTGACGTGAACATAGCTTATCGTCAACATGAACCACCCCAGCAACGACACGCAGGCCGTCAAGTTGACGGGCGAGGAGGTAGCCAAGCACAACAATGCCGACTCGTGCTGGGTCATTGTCCACGGACGTGCCTACGACGTGACAGAGTTCCTCCCCGAGCATCCTGGCGGTCCCAAGATCATCCTCAAGTATGCTGGAAAGGACGCCACCGAAGAGTACGAACCCATCCACCCACCCGACACACTAGACAAATTTCTGGACAAGAGCAAGCACTTGGGCGAGGTCGATATGAACACAGTCCAACAGGAAACAAAGGAGGAAGACCCTGATGAGGCCGAAAGACAAGAAAGAATCAAGCGCATGCCCATCCTTGAGCAGTGCTACAACCTGATGGACTTTGAAGCTGTGGCCAAGAGAGTCATGAAGAAGACTGCATGGGCCTACTACTCCTCGGGAGCTGACGATGAGATTGTGAGCTCGATAACTCCATCCTGTGCCATTTGTTGCTGACTAGTTTGTAGANCGATGCGTGAAAACCACAGCGCTTTTCACAAGATTTGGTTCCGACCAAAGATTCTCGTTGATGTTGAGAATGTCGACATGTCGACAACAATGCTGGGTACCAAAGTCAGCATGCCTTTCTACGTAACAGCCACCGCTTTGGGCAAGCTCGGAAATCCCGAGGGTGAAGTCGTCTTGACCCGTGGTGCTAAAAAGCACAATGTCATTCAAATGATTCCCACTCTGGCCTCTTGCTCTTTCGATGAGATTATGGATGCTGCTAAGGGCGATCAAGTGCAATGGCTCCAACTTTACGTACGTTGATCATCTCTTGACCATACAGAATTGTGACTGACGCACACACTCACAGNNGTCAACAAAAACAGAGACATTACAAAACGTATTATTGAACACGCTGAGAAGCGAGGCTGTAAGGGTCTCTTCATCACTGTAGACGCCCCTCAACTTGGTCGCCGCGAGAAGGATATGCGGTCCAAATTCTCCGATGTTGGCAGTAACGTCCAAAACACTGGTGGCGACAACGTTGACCGAAGCCAAGGTGCTGCAAGAGCCATCTCCTCCTTCATCGACCCCTCGCTATCTTGGAAGGATATTCCATGGTTCAAGAGCGTCACAAAGATGCCCATCTTGCTCAAAGGTGTCCAAAGAGTCGAAGATGTGATCAGAGCCGTTGCTGCAGGTGTCGATGGTGTTGTTTTGTCCAACCATGGCGGCAGACAGCTCGACACATCGCGCTCGGGCATCGAGATTCTTGCCGAGACCATGCCCGAGTTGCGTCGACTGGGCCTTGAGGACAAGATCGAGGTATACATCGATGGCGGAATTCGACGTGCCACAGACATCCTCAAGGCTCTTTGTCTCGGTGCCAAGGGTGTAGGTATCGGCCGTCCCTTCCTGTACGCCATGTCAGCATACGGCTTGCCTGGTGTCGACCGTGCTATGCAACTTCTCAAAGATGAGATGGAGATGAACATGCGCTTGATTGGATGCAACAGCGTCGATCAGTTGACCCCTGAACTTCTGGACGTTAGGAGTTTGCACACGCACACTGCATCTGTGGCGCCAGATACACTCAGTATTGCCGCATACGATCCTTTGGCTGGACCTAAGGAGAGATTGGCCAAGTTGTGAGGGCTTGTACACTTTACATCCTATATGTTCCTATACCGTCATGCATTATGAAATCTCCCAAGATGACTGTCCGGAGTCTCTCGTGAGCCAGTCCGAGCGAGCTATGATCTGCTTATTTACCAGCTTCTCCATATCAAGCCCATCCGGCTCAATCCCATAACCACTGCACTCAGCAGCCCTGCAACGATTGTGGCCTTGATCCCGGCTTCTAGGTAGATTGACCACACAAACCACATCAGCGGCGACCAGTCCCAAACTCCAGCTGCCCTCTCCTTCCACTCGGGCTCAACAATTTCGAACAGCAATATAATAAGCGTGATCAAGCCAATGAACACTGATCCCAGTACACGCGTCTCTTTTCGAGTGGGCATTCTGTCTTGTCCACAAGCGATGATCATCCCGCGAAGAGCCAGATAGCCAAGTGGTGCCGCGAGGTAATGTCCTGCAATTAAGAGGAAAGCGGTTACTGCGAGCAAACAAAAGACCGCACTGGTCGTGACCGCCGCTTCGGAGATGATGTTGAGTGGCTTTGACGGAATTTCCAGCATTGTCCCGGTCGGTTGCAAGTGTACCGTGGTTCCAGGTCAAGGTGTTCTGCTCTTGTTGTTACATAAGAAAGAGATTCAACTTGGCAAGTGACGTTTGGCTCTCATGTCACGTGTGTCCAATCAGGATGCCAGCGGGGGCTGACCTTGCCTCTCAACCGATGTGGGCCTAGTACGTGTGCCTGCCAATTTCCAGAGGAAACGATTGCGATGGTGAAGATTAGTATGGGCCAGTGAGCGTGGCTGAATAACCCACTTACAAAGCTTTGTGTTATCCGCCTTCATTCACTCGTTTCTAATAAGTCGAGATCGCTTCGTGCTTGCCACCTCTCCTCTCTTGCCTTCATTGGTTCCTGAAGATGCTACTAGAGAGACTGATTGGGTAAGCTGGCGAGGATCGTGGTCCGTTCCTGTCTGGTCTCAGATCAATCTTGGCTAAGAATGCTGGCAATTACATGGGGTCTACTCGCATGCTCATCATCAGGGATGAGATGTGTTAAACCACTCCCCCTCTTCGCATAATTATTTAAGCAGACAGAGGAACCAAGCGGAGAGCAGTAGCTCACGGGAAGCAGTACCGAGCGAGGAGTTAGAGATCAACGGCTAGCAGAAAGCATTATCAAACGTAAAGCAATGTGCTGGAGCGGGAAGGGGAATTAGGTAGCGGCAAGCCCCAGGCCAATATAGAGGCAGGAATCAGTATCAAGCTATATCAAATAGCCAAGAGCATCAAGGCAGAACCCGTTTCACTCTTTCTAGAGGTCTTGGACGAATCAAATAGTGAGTACTAGCTTGTAGTGGGCGGGAAGGGGGAAGCAAGACGCGGGAAGGGGGAAGCAAGACGCGGGAAGGGGGAAGCAAGACGCGGGAAGGGGGAAGCAAGACGCGGGAAGCAGGAAGCAAGACGCGGGAAGCTGGAAGCTGGAAGCTATATGAAGCAGGAAGTAGTATCAAGCGGAAGACCGTGTTGTCAAGGAGGAAGCAACTTGAAGCAGAAGGCAACGTGAAGCCGGAAGCAACATAGGAAAGGAAGCACTGTAGAGCATGAAGCAACGTGAAGCAAGAAAGAGATTGAAGGTATGCTTGCCGATTGATTGAGATTTCTATGGAGGCACGACATGCAGTCATGGGGGATACATGCAGAAACCACGGCCTCTCTTCTGAAGCAAAGAAATCGGAGCGCTATCTTGTTATGAGCTCTGCCGTAGCCGGGTTCGCCAGCAAGACCTTCATAACTTCCCTCCATCTGGTCGTTTGGAGCAGCAACCAGTGTGAGCCTCAATAAAGCGTTGATGCTCTGGCGATTTGCGCTCAAGCTCCTCTCTCGTATCCAGCCATCCAATAACGCATTTTTGCTTTTGAGAGTCCCAACCATGCGCAGAGATCAGCTCATCAAGCTCCTGGGTCAATCTTGCATCGTCGTTAGCAGGTCTTGCCGGCAATGTCAGATAATCCTGCAATGTGCCTTTTGCAGAGATGTACCGGTGCGGGTTGTCGATAATTGGTTTCTGTAGCTGCAGTTGGGCAAGTCGGGACCTTCTCTCGATGTCAACATCCTCGGTGTACAGTGTGACTGAATCCGTCTTGATGTACACCTTTGCAAACTCCGGAACCTCGACAGTCTCTCCGAGATGGACGGCCAATGCCCAGCTGGGGTGTTTGAGAGGGCCGGGCAACCTTGCTCGCGTCGCTGGCTCTCCGACGACTGCGCATCTGACACCCGGGAAGGTGTACGCATAGTTGTAAATGTCTTTGATGTACTGGTTCAGCCTGTTCTCATCCTTGATCTTAGACACGCCAAGAAACTCCTCGAAAACTCGATCCCATACAACGAGACCGAAAAGTGGTTTGTTTCACTGACGCGGAAGGTGCGAACAACTGGATGCGTCAAACCCCTGGCTGTTTGCACGCGAGACCCGATACTGATGGACTGTAGATTGAGACCGAGCAGTTGAAACAAGCTTCACTCGAGGCGCGAGAAACTCGTTGGCCTAGAGATTTTAAGCAGTGATACCACTTGGAACTGATGAACAAAAAATCACTGACCCAAGAATTTTTAGCGTTAGGTTTCTTGGTCGAGCCTTCCTTGACAGAACTTGGGAGTTTTGGACTTATGTAGGGTGTAGCCTGCGTTGTCGGATGTTATTGGCTCACTTTGGCGCTCCTTATCGAGTAGAGCTTCGACCGTATATAAAAGAGGTGACAATCTTGGTAGAGCGAGTTGGGTGTGGAAGAGAAGGTTATCAGAGTCGTTGAGGACTTTTTAAGTAGGCGGCTGAAGTTCCACTTGAGGAAGTAAATGCCACTTGCTGTTTGCTCACTTCCGGCTGTCATAGGTATACCACCAAACGAAGGAGTAAACCTAGAGTTTAAAGCTTCACTCACCTGTCGTCCTGCTGTGTCTGGTTAATCGTACACGCAGCGAGGTAACTTCTAGAGACTTTCTAAAATTGTGTGGTTGCAAAGCCAGTATGTTCAGGAAGGCGTCCTTTATACTCTCTCCATGTGCCAGCGACCGTCTTGGACAATCATGGAGATGCACGAGAGTTTCTAAAAGGGGTTGGTCCCATAGAAAGAATCTTGTCGTAGGGTGTCTCCATGGCAATGTTCCTGTTATCACTGCTCTTGGGAAATAGTAGGAACAGATGTCTTGCGTAAGTGGTTTTTGGTCTAATAGACCCTGAATATTACACTCATCTTTCATTCTCAATCCTATCATACAACACATTACATCATCCCACCATACACACACCTAATCACCCTTCTCAACATCCCTAATACTCTCCGCCTTCTCCCTCTTCCTCTGTCTGCCCTTCTCGCTCCAAGGGAAATGCGCAACAGGCACCAAAAAGAAACTGTTTCCTCTGTCGGCAATACCAGCCAACATATTCCACCAAGCGATGAATGCGGCAATGATGCCAAAAGCACCGCCCGCGAGATTGAGACTGTTGTTGGGAGCAGTGACGCCGTCGATGGTGGAGGTATACATGTATCCGGTCGCCAGCATGAGGAAGGTAAGCCATACAAAGAAGAAGAGGGAGGAAAAGGCGACGGTGGAGCGGAGGGTGAGTAGCCAGAGGAGGAAGGTGAAGATGAACCAGCCCNNTGTGTGTGGTGTTAGTGATTTGCTTCTCGGGAGATGGTGGTGCGAGGGGACACGTACGTAAAGATAGAATCCTACGGCAGAGTAGAATGCTGGTGTTGCACCTCCATACGCCGATGCAATCTCGAAACCGCCTGGTGTAAAGATAATACCCAAGCCAATCCAAAAGCCACCATACGATGTCAAGGCCGTAGCACCAAAAGTGTTACCCACAGCCATCTCCCTGTCATCCAATCATCAGCCTCTATCTCAACTTACAACATTCATCATGACGAAGAAGACTCACCACATGCCAGCCAAAATCTGAATCAAGCCTCCATACGCATACGCAGGTCCAACAATAATATTAGGCGTCGCAATACCCCTCGTCCCCAAATTAATCAAGCTGAGCAAAAANGTCGTCAATGCGAAGCCGGCCAATCCCAATGGCGCCGGGTTCGCGAACTTGCGGTCTGGGGGTTTGTAGAGGCCGGGTTGAAAAGCACCTCCAAAGGCAGGGAGATAGGATTCATCGGTGGGGATGCGTGATAGAGGGCCATATCCAGGTGTCCAGCGAGGATTGATGGCCGAGTTCTCGAGGTGATCTGCTTCTGCTTTTTGGATGGCGTCGGGGTCGGAGTGGGAGGATGTCGAAGACGCCATGATTGATTATGTTTGGTCTCGAATCCCTTGTGATGGAAGATTGATGGCAGCAAAACAATGAAAAGAGAAATCAGAAACAAAAGACAGAGAGACATGAAGGAATGAGAGCATTACTTATCCCATCAAAACACCTACTAGTCCCAAACTCTTTTCAACTGTCTATCATCCATCCATATCAAATCCCCCTCGATCAGCTGCCATACGGACTTGAAGCCATCGTCCTTACTGCCCCTCAATTGGACAGCTGCTCGACCTGCAACGGCCAACACGCGCGGACCCAAAACAAATCCCACCAAAAGAGGTGCGGCTCGTCGTCACAGGATTCGATCTCCAGAAGCTTGGAGGCAGATGTGGATGAAGATCGCTGCCAGGAACGGCAAGAATGACGGTGTGATAAACCGGGGTAACGGAGCCCCGGACTCTCGCGGACGTGGAGAAACGATCGCTTCCGTGGATTCTCGGATGTGGTTTACTGTCGGGAGCAGCGGCACGATTTGCTCTTTGTTCTTGAGATGCGCTGATATGCGACACTGAACGTACTCGAGGGTCGGGGAAGCGCCCATCGGGGGTTTGGGACTTGAGAATTGGTCTGTTTGTACTCCTGCTCGAACAAATTCGCCATGTGGAAATCAAGATGCAAACACTTCTTATTCCCGGCGCGTCACCCGCAAGCTGTCAAAGGTGATGTGACGAGATCCATGATTTCGGGAATGGGCTTTTTTGGCATTTTGCAAATGCTCTATATGCAGTGACTGCTTGTGCTGGGTTGAGTTGATGCTTGTTTGATGACCGATGCTGAGTGTATGGTTGCCAAGTAAAGACCAAAGCATCTGGAAGTCCAATGCATGAACCATGAGATTGATTATACACTATACACATCGCAGACGCCCTGCCTTGATCACCGTTCCCAAGAAAACCGAGTGCGCCCTTCTTGCCTTGTATTCTCTCTCGGCGCTTGTAGTATGGGTTCACTACCCTCGAGTTCATAAACGCCTCCTCTAGTCCCCTCTTTCAAACTTCTGCCATCCAGTTCTGGCGGTTCCCAACCTCCTCTCATCTCAACTCTGGGCTGTACTTTACTTCCCTGCACCTCATGTGGTTGCCATCCATACTTTTCGGTGCCCGTGGGCATTTCATTCAGGGCAGCTTCTGAGTCACTAGGCAGTTCTAGTTTCACTGCTGCGTCTACTTCCGCGGGTGGAGAGAGATGGGTTGATGGTGTCGAGTCGTCAGAATCTGGATGGTCGTGGAGAAGCGCTTGTGCTAGGCGTTGACGGCGTCGACGACGGATGTAAAAGACCGTGGCGAAGATGAAGCAAACGAGGGCAGCTCCTGCGACAACGCCTACAGCGATGCCGATGATCACATTACGTGAGAGGATTGGCGATGGTCTGGTGACTACGCCATTGTCACCTCCTGTTGAGTTTGTTGCGTTGACGCCGGGCGGTAGAATAGAGACGAGATTCTGCGCAGGCATGGGGTTCGCGAATGCAGCTTGTGTGATGGTGAAGTTGTTGCGTTCATAGTCGGCTATCAGGTATGCTTCTTGCAGAAATGTGCGTCCGAGAATGTATTGTGTGTCGTTCGCCGCCCTTCGGATGGGGAAGTATCTCGTGCTGTTGCTGTAGTACGGATAGCTCGCTTGTAGATCGAAACTCGCGTATGGAAACACTACATTGGTACTCGGACCTCCATCTGTGGTTTGTGGAGATAGTTTGAAGATGATGGTCGGATTTAGTTGTTGGAGCTTCGTGTGCATGGTGTCGTTGATTAGGTATAGATCCGTTTGATTGTCGTATGTCAAACCGAAGTTGGACGCGAAATTGTCGCAAGCCGCTCGCGGCATCCAGAGGTGTGGGACTGTACTGTCGACCAGCGAGAAGTATCCTGTAGAATATAGGGTAGTGGTGCCGAGAAGTGTGTTTCGAGCGGTGATCTGGGTGACGCCAACTTGGAGTGGTTTCGAGTCGTCCGAAGCGAAAGGGAAGACGGTGCCGTTTCCGTTCATACGCGATTCATCGTAGCCGCCGAGAGTCAGACTGCCAAGAACCTTGCTGTANTCCTTGTACCGTGTCAGTGGATTAAATTGGTAGAGAAAGTGCGACGTACGGTATGAAGCGCCTGCGGTGTAGGCAAAGGACTTGGAAGGTATGGTGTTGTTTTGCCTCAAGGATGTCAAGAATGATGGCTGTGGATCTGACAAGACGGAGAAGTTTGACGGCCTTGGTCCTAAACCAAAGACACCATACATGAAGCCCTTGTCGGCAATTCCTGCGACGATCTGGTGTGTCTGTTGAATGCCTCCCGAGTTCTCGACTTGCAGGCCGACAGTATCGAATCCGTATGCACCGTTCGCGTTGATGCCGATGTTTGTTTCCAAATCTGTTGTGTAAATGCCAATGTCGTCCCAGGTTGTTGAAGCGTTGCTCAAGAAACCATTGCTGACATCGCCCTGGAAAGGCATCGCACCTCGTAGGTTACCGCAGTTGGCTGGATCATCTTTTGTGCAGCCGTCAGGTACGGGTATGAGGGTCTCTTGTCCGAAGGTAGAAGGAAAGACTCGAAAGTCTTGAGGTGGGGTTCCTATGCGGACCATGAAGGAGCTCCAGCTATGCAGTGGTCAGTTAAGTGTCGAAGATTGCAAGGCTACAGCATCCATACCTCCCNNATCATTTCCATCCCAGTATTGTGAAGGTGCGAAAGAAAGTGGACTCGGCAGAGCAGTGGCCGAGGTAGAAATGGTCGAGGAAGACATGGCAAGGACCAGTCACGCGGTCAGATGGACGTGTGCTGTGCAGTCATACAAAGATGGAAGAAGTCACACAGAAAAGGATGGAGCGGCTAGAGATGGTGGTGAGAAGCAATCGTATTGTGTTTCGTGTAAACGTATAGGGCAGTGTGAGGATTAAAGAAAAGAGAGCAAGGAAGAGAATAAGGCAGCGAGCGGGAGTTGGTGCGCAAGCGCTCATTGCGGGACAATGTGCATATCCAGCACAGCACGAGGCTGTACGGCTGCGGGATAGGGCCTCGAAAATAGATGGAGTGGTGTTGGGGAGGGCCAATCAGCGCGTGAAGGATCGTGTAAATAGATTGGAGTTATGCGCGCTTGATGCGGCGGTGAATTGTTTCTGAAACACCCGAGCATGAATGCAGAGAGCGTAGTGGATGGACTACTCGGTACTTGACCATGGATTGAAAGCTTTACCGCGATGATTAGAAAGTCGACAAGACAGAGATGGACGCGACTCGGGAGTGTGGGAGGAAGAGTTGGGAGTGAGTGTCGCGAAACAAGCAAGGAGGACCGGAGTCCGGATGCGACAGAGTGTCAGATGCGGGCCCGGCGTCAACTAAGTCGATGAATGAAACAAACATGACCAACCTAGGCCATAGCAGATGCTAGCAAACATCCTTGACGCTTCAGTCGCTGACACCATACTTCCTCTCTACATTCTCAACACCTGATAGCATCGTCCAACATGGCAGACCCATACCAATGGCGCGAATCCGTCCTGTCTACACGCAGTCTCTCCTATGTCAGCACCATAGACGCTCTCGACACCGCCAGACCCTCAACCCTACGCAAAAACACACTCACCTCGATAACATCCTCTTACGCCGAAGACGAAGACGAGGACTTTCACGATGCTCTGACCCAAGTTCCCTCTTCCGATACCCTCCCTCCTTCGGTATCATCCAGCCCTCTGTTCCGCCTACCACGCGACCTTCGTCTCCAAATCTATTCCTACCTCCTCACGAGCAGTCAAAACATCCTCTGGCCCACAGAACACCAATCCCACAGTCTCGACCCTCAACTCCTGCGCACCTGTCGTCCTGTCTATGAAGAAGCAGCCCACGTGCTCTACCAAACAAACACTCTCACTTTTGCTCACCCTAGTGATGCAAACATGTTCGCTCACGCATTGAGTAATCGCTCTTTTGCGTCTTTGATGCCGCACGTCACTCTTCGCATTCGCAGCAACGATACCCGTCTTTGGACAGGCTGGTTCAACACAAACGCTGCAGAAAGAAGTCTTGTGCGCGACTTGCCTGGCTTACGGCAATTGACTATCCGCTACCGAGGACCTAGATGGCAGCCGAGTCTGAACGAGAAAGCGAACGCGGATCTATGGCTCAAGGATCCAAAGTTGCAAGAAATTATACTGAGTGTGAGGAAGTGCGTTGCTGAAGTTAGGTTGTTGCTGTGCGTCAGACTGCCAGATGAGGTAGCTGAGGAGATTCAAAGGGGGCTGGGGCAGAGTGAGGAAGGAGAAGAGAAGATGCCTCATGTCATGTTCAGGAGGTGGGTATGGTTGAACGGTTGTCATATTCGTGTCGAGCCTCTGGGCAAGGATGACGATGCTTGAGCCATGTTCAAGGTGTTTGGTTCATGGGCATATTTACGGCTGCACTGGGATAGATGGACGACCAGCATGATTGACAAGAGTCTCGTGTGGTGTGCAGGGATTTGGTCTTGTATACATCGGGACTGACTGCACTTTGTCGGCTTGTATTTGATCAGACGGGAGATTGGCAAGTGCACAGGACATGAGACGCATCCCCGTCAACGCGACCTTGCAACAAGATCATCAAAGCATCAGTCACTATTGGATAGAACGACGAATTCACGAAAAGCACGACGACATGACGATATGACTTGAAGGATAAGAAAATTGTTGCATTTCACGCTCTTTAAGCCCGTAAAACTCCCAGGATGATGATTTGTTTGACGCCACAAAACGCCGACTGTCCCCAAAAGCCATGAGAGAAGAAAATATCGCCCTCTCTCCTCTGACACCCATTTTGTAATCAGCAAAGATCGTACACATGTGACAGACGCAGAACGCAAACCCCCCGAATAAGACCGATTTAGTCTGTTGGAAGACGCGTTTATGCGGCGCGCTGGTAGATACCAGCGACCATGGCGTGGTCTCTCTCGAAGGGCTCAAGGGTGAGCTGCTCCTTGGGCTTGATGCGCTCCTCTCTCATCTTTTGAACCTCGCGGGCGAAGACGGCCTCGGGGGCAGCGGTCGAGTCGATACAGTTGGCCTTGATGGAGACAAGGACACCACCGCCGACCTTCAGGAACAAGTGGGCGTTAAGACCGACGATACGGGCCTGATCGGGCTGGGCAACATCGGCGAAAATGCAGTCGACCATACCGACGAGCATACGGTACTTGAGGGGGTGACGGGCGTCCTCGACGATGGGGATGACGTTGGTACGGTGGGTAGCCATGTTGATCAGGTCACGGCCGGAACGGTGAGAGAACTCGACGGCGTAAACGGTACCGGTAGGACCGACGATATCGGCAACGTGAGAAACTGAAGTACCAGAAGCAGAACCGAGGTAGAGAACCTTGGAGCCGGGCTTCATGTAGATGTCCTGAAGACCACCGAGGATACCAGCGGCAATCTTTGAGCGGAAGGGGTTCCAGACACGGTACTCGACCTTTGTAGCAGCGCCAGTCTCGCCATTTTCGACAACAGGAGCAGGAGAATCCACAGTAATGCGCTTCTCACCGTACACCGAGACTGAAGGAGCCATTGAGCGGGTACACAGCNNCCAAAAAAAAAATCAGCAAGCGAAGCTCGATAGAGATGACTCCTTGACTCACATGTCCTCTTTGCCTCTTGCGATAAACACGCCTTCATGGCGATGGGGCTCAACGATTGCTTTGGCGCCTCCTCTGGCTCCTGCTGCGCCGCCACGACCTGTTAAGACACCGTCAGCGTTCCGTTCGAGGTTTGCGGGATCGAAGAGAACGAACCGCCCCTGGCACCTCCTCTGGGTGCTCCACGGCCTCTAGCGCCTGTGATGTATCGTCAGCGTTTTGTTCTGAGCCTGCTGAGAAGGAGTCCGTACCACCACGACCACGATCTCCTCCGCCACGCGAGGCGAAGCCTCCTCTTGATCCACCTCTGCCGCCACGATCGCCGAAGCCGCCTGTTTGTATCGTTAGATACTGGTTATCCCAAGCTGGAACTGGTGCGCGTACCACGACCGCCGCCTCTTCCACCACGGTCACCGAAGCCACCTTTTTGGTTGTCAGTAGGTGTTCTGGAGAGCCCGATGAGAGTATCACAAACCTCTGCCACGAGGAGCACCACCTCTAGGAGTAAAAGCCATTGTTGATATGAGTAAAGGATGGATGTGAGTTGTGGTTGTGATAGTTCAGTTGTGCAGTGACGAGCGCGCGGGCAAGACGAAATTTCTAAATTTTTGCCAAGAGTCGAGCTTTGCTTTCCGGGGAAGTTGCAGCTGAGTCAGCAACCCTTCCAAAAGTGGTCTCGCTTGGTCTCGCAACTCCAAAGCCGTTTGTTGAACAAGAGACGTGAAGCGATGTCCCGAAGGCAGAGATGTCCATGTCTTAAGATGGTACAGAATTAGGGTGCCTGCTTGGAATGTGGATTTTTTAGAGAGTGTGTCAGCTTGTAGCCTTTGAAGATTGGCATATAAAATATTTGTAGGTGTCTTTCAATTAATCAACGCCAATTACCACGATACCAATCCGAACGCAGCGTGACTGACCAGTTGCCTAAGCCTCTTTGCAACAGATAACTGGCATCGTGCAGCTTGTTAGTCCTGACAGCGCGATTCTGGCTACAAGCAAGCAAGTCTTGGTATCTTCGAGGCGCTTCCCTCATAGAGATTGATAGTGACAAGATGGACTCTTTGCTCTGCAGGGTCTTTTACAGCTCGATCGGGTCAATCTGCTTTTTATCATAGAATTGTAGCATCTTCTTGGGTTTGTACTCTTCCAGTGTGTTACTACGTTTCTTGGTTTGATGCATGCAAGCAGATTTTGGGAAGTGTTCGATGATCTAGATCAACCAAAAGGACGGAAAATGAGGTCACTGATCTGTGCCTCGAAGATGAAGCATTTCGTCTCATCAAATGAAGTACGAAACAAGCAGGTCGCCCATCAGATCCTACGGTATGGAGTTCCAAGACGTTGCTCACCAAGACGTGGACATCCTAGACTGTGTCCGAATTTGGCTCACACATAATTCTTTTCGAATTGAAGAGTGTGCAAGATAGGCCGAGGACTCGTGGCGAAGTAGAAAATGTGCGTAGTATGTTCGCAGCTACTTCGCTGGATAAAGCTCGGGTGCTTGTATCGCTCCTTCCTTTACTGCAACTTCCTCGTAGAGAAGTAGTAGCACGTAATTGCGATTTTCTTCCCTTTTCAGACTCCCATCTACGCAATGCTCTGCTGTCTCATCAATTGATCTTAGCCTCGCAATTCTAGGCTCTTGTTGTCCTCTTTGCCCATTTCTCACCCTCCTTCCTTTATTTTTCAATGTGCTACCATTCAAGGCGCCTGCCTTTTCCTGCTCATCAAGACTTCCCGTGCCGCATCGCTTTGGATTGAGCTGCATGCCTCATACCTCAAATAGACTCATCCAGTCGATACAACGGGATGGCGTGTGTTCCATTCAGACAATCGATTCCTATCTGCGACTTCCTGTAAGCGATTTCCATGTCTGTCATTCCAGAGAGCACAGAAAGAAAGAAGAATCTCCAGCATTCCTCCCATGATGAAGCATAGCCAAAAAGTTTCGAAGTCATTCGCATTGTATCTACTGCTGTCAGTGTTGCCTGACTGTAATCCTTCGGGCTGTCACGAAGGCTTAATCTGTGCTTTGGTATTGCAGTTATGGTTATTGTATCTTCTTTTCTGTCAGGATCTCTGTTTTTTCTTTCCAGTAAAGCTGTAATTTGGGATTTGTCAAAGCCTCTGTTTTCTCCTGCACTTTGAGCTGTATCTGTTCTGTCAAGCGGTATGTAACGAAACTTTTGTTGAGGGTGCCGGAGTTTGTTTGAGGATGCTGGTTTTCGGATCAGCCATGGCAATATACTACGGCTCGTCAGTAATGCTGTAAGGTATGGCCACACTCTGTCAGTTCGCTGTACTTGTGGGGTCTTGTGGTATATGGCTTAACTGATTGCGGATTGTCACGCTCTGATCGATGTGCCGATATCTTCAGGCGACCAAAATGCTGACTTTTTGCATTTACCAGATTTGGCCGTCCAAGAGTCATTGCGGTCAGTATTTGGCAGTCTCGATGATGCTACTTACGAGGCGGATATTCTTTGTGGTCACTGTCGATTGTCAAGCGAGTTGGGCCAGTCAGCTTTTTGGGGATTTTTTTTTCGTTTTCTATATTAGTTTAAACTAGCGACTGCGAAAAATCAAAGGGGGTAAACACAATCCAACAGAACAAAAGAGACGACGAGAAGCAGAGGGAAAGTGTTCAGAAGAAGGATAGCAAAGACGAAGGGCGTGCAGGTTTCATTGGAAACTCTTTATTGGATTCCTCCGTATGGGTCGGAATCGTAGTCATCGTCGCCGGGAGCATCCAAATCCATCTCGTTGTTCGAGTGGTTCCAATTCTCCTCTTCCATGACTTGGACAGACTCAGGTTGTGGTTCTTGCGGCTCATCGGCTCCTTCAGCAGCAGAACTGATGTCCTCTGCCTGCTCAAGCTTTTGAGGACTGCTGGACAGAGTTCCAGCCTGCTCATGGGCCTTGCGATGGCCGTTGATCAGATGCATCATTTGATCATAACGCTTGAACAACCCTGTATCCATGAGCTTTTGCAAATCGTCGTCAGAGAGGTCGACGAAGTTTCCAGAAGCATCATGAACTCGTGGGTTGAGCAGATCAATTCTCGTCTGCAGAGTTGAAGGATGCCACAACTTGCAAGACGAACTTCCAGGCTCTTCTTCATGATCTTCTGCAGGAATAGGTTTGTCCGACAAAGTTCCCTTCTTTTCGTGTACCTTTCTGTGGGCTGAGATGGTAGCCAAAAGATGGTCCAAACGGTTGAACACACGTGGGTTGTTCGCCATCAACTCTTTGAAGGGTTTAACGCCCCGGTCGACAAAATTGTTCGAGCTGTCATGAACAATAGGTTGGAGAAGATCGCGTCTCATTGTGGAAATGTTGATGTGCCATTCCTTGCAAGGACCCTGTGATTGAGTCTGCTCCGTGTCTTGTGTGTCCTGAGCAGTAGTCACAGCTGTCCCAGAAGGCTGCTGCGAGGGAGTCGATTGTTTTGTGTTAGCGCCTTCAGGAGCCGACTTCGTACCAGTAGAGGGTTTTGCAGGGCCCCGGGCCTTTGCACCCACTGCTCCCATGTGAAAGTCATCGGAATCAGGGCCATCGGAATCGGAGTCATCGTCGCTTTCAGCACTCGAATCCATCTTTACGTCTGAGCTCTGTTCATTGCTGTCTGCACTCGAATTCATCTTGACGTCCGAGTCTTCCTCTTCTGTGCCTTTGTCAAGCTTGAGGTCGCTCTTCCCAAGGGCAGCAATTCTGTCCGAGTGTCGGCGGTTCTTCTTCGGGGTCATGGGTAGAGTAATTGTCTTCCCGGGCGTGGGTAGGGTCAACTCCTCGCTGAGTCCTGTGAGTGGCGAGGATTTGAGAGCCTTGTTGGTGCTTAATTTCTTCTTTGTCGGAGTCTGAACAGAGGCCGATGCGGGATCCGGCTGAGCCTGAGGCAGAACTGGTTTGGCTTTAGTCGAACTTGAGGCTTTTCCCGACCCCTTTGACGTACGCTTCTTCCTCTTCGTCAGGTGTGCCGTCTTGTGGTTGTTCACCATAGCAGAGAGGCCTTGGAGATGATTGAATACTCCACGGTTCTCCTTCATGAGCTTCCTCAAGTTCTCTTCAGAACACTCGACAAAGTTACCCTCGTCGTCGTGAAGCAAGGGGTTCAACAGCTCAAGTCTTTCTTCAGGGATGGCACGATTCCATAACGTGCAATAATCATCGACCTGCTGCTCAGATGTTGCGACAGTCCCGGCCTTTTCGTGAGCCTTTGTATGAGTGTCTACGAGCGTCAACATGTTTTCAAGTCGCTCGAAAACTCCTGGATGCTCCTCCATAAGCTCTTGGAAGAGTTTATCAGGCCGCTTGACAAAGTTGCCCTCGTCATCATGAATCAGAGGGTCCAGGATCTGTTTTCTCTCCATTGCAGGCTGACGACTCCACAACTTGCAAAGGGCTCTGTCTTGTTGCTTTGGCGCAGCGATAGTCCCGCGCGTCTCGTGAGCCTTTTTGTGGGTTTCCACATTCTTCATGAGGATAGAGAGGTCCCAAAATGCCTGTGGATGATCCTTGAGGAGCTGTTTAAAGACCGTCTCAGATACCTCGACAAAGTAACCCTTGTCATCATGGATCAACGGGTCTAGCAAGTCGATTTTGTGTTTCTGAAGCGCAAGGGACCACAACTTGCAAGCGGTATGCTGTTCGGACTTCTTGATGGTCCCCTTCTCCTTGTGAGCCTCTGCGTGTCTCTCCACGCCTTTCTGAAGGTTACTGCGGTCCTTGAAAACCTCCGGGTGTGTTTTCGTAAGCTTCTTGAAGACATCTTTGGGATTTTCAACAAAATTGCCCTCAGTATCGTGAATGATGGGGTCGAGAATTTGCCGCTGTGGTTGAGGAACCGAATGATGCCACAAAGTGCAATTGGAGACGTAGGCGACGGGTCTTCGGGTCGAGCTCTTCTTCTTTTTTCTCCTAGTGCGGCCCAAGTCCTGATCCTCATGGTAACGCACATGATTATCGTATGATTTGCGGAAGTTGTGGAAGGTTCCCAGGCTTGATCCGGACTCGTAAAGCTGCTGCAGATCGGCCTCAGATCGCTTCACAAGCTGGCCATCAGGAGTATGCATGAATGGATCGAGCAAGGCGTGGTTTTCATTCAGACTCGACGTAGGCCATAGAGAACATAGGAACAGGTATTTGGGGTCGGTATCTTGTGCTGAACCGCTGCTGGCAGAACTAGAACCCTTGGATTTTTGGGTGCGGCTCTCAGCGTGCAAATCCAAGGATGTCTTGTTCAGAGTGACTGAGAGCATAGCTGCGGCGTGCCTACATTCTTCGATTTCAAGCACGTAGCATGCAGGCTGGTCGCAGTAGAAACCGAGAAGCGGTTCATCGTCTTGTGGCGGCCTGTCACTCAGTGCCCAAGTGTCAAGAGGCTGATGGGAGCTGCCCCATCGACACACTCGAGCAAATGGTTCCTGTTCGGGGACACATCGATCGACGACGAACTCGTTTCGGCCCCAACTAACATTCCCGTTGGTGGTTTGAGCATCGACGAATGCAGGGTCTGTGAATTGGGCCGTGACGCGAGTCATCGCAATGGAACGATCAATCCTGTAATAAAACATGAGACTGTTGGAGAGCAGAAGTTTCCTGCATGCCAGGAGTTGCTGATCATGCTCTATCTTGGCGTGGCTGGGACCTGGAACTCGTGAAATTGATGCCCAACTTCTTCTTGTCCACTCTTGGGCCAACATTGCCATATCGAACATGCCCCAAACGACGTGCTTGTGCTTACCCTTCTTCCTCTCGGCTTTCGAAAGCAGACAGGCAGGGGTCGCCCAATCCAGCATCGGCTTCTGGACTACGACGGGGTCGTCTGGGGCAGGGATGCCTCTGTCGTCACAGATCAAGAGCTGCCCACGCAGGCGAGGGTAGGTTTCCTTCATGTCTTGCCAACTGTCATTATTCACAGATCCACCATCCAGTCCTGAAACGATGATGCGATAAGTGAATTGACCATGGAATGTCGGATCGTCTTGACTGGTCTTCTGAGCATGATCCGACAGTTCTTGGAGGGCCACAATGCAGTCCTGGTTCGTTTCAAGCATGTCGCGGAGAAGGTCGGTGCCTTGGACGTTGGGCAACGCGCATTTGATATGCATAGGGTACTGCAAGGTTCCTTGTGTGTAGAGATTTGTCTCTGGTTGTTGTTTTTGAGCCCCAAACAGAGCATTGGTCGTCTTGATGCGCGCGTCGAAAGACCTCTCCAATTTTGCAAGCTGGATCGTGCTTACAACGCCACTGAACCGCGAAAGGTAGATATGAAGCATTGCTGGATGCTCAAGAGGGCTTGGAGTTGGACTACACTTCTTGCTTCGTAACACGTTGAGGTACCTTCCAGTCAGTTGGCGAGCGGGGATTCTTGTGGCAATCCACTTGCCACTTTCGTCCTTGAGTTGCTCGAAATGATGTGTTTGCCGATCAAGGATAACTCGCAAAAGTTGTACAAGGTTCCATGCCTCGGGAACAGCAAACTTCTGACGCTCCATCATTCCACGGATTGGTCCTTCCATGTCTTCAACAGTCATACCAGTCATGTTTCCTGGAGTTGACAAAAGTATGTAGATGAGGTCTCGAATGCCACTGACGCAAGAGGGCAAGAACGAAGCAGGAGATACAATCCTCTTCTGTCGCTTGCTGAGTCGTCTGTCATTGGCCATCTGACCAGCATATTGTTTACCAGCCTTGGGTAGCTTTTTCCTCCTTGGGAGCCTTCTTTTGATCTCATCGGGCGTCTCCTTACGAACCAGGTTGCTAAGAGCATCAGTGCGAGCTTGAGCGTGTTCAATGACAGTAACATCAGGAGCAATAACGCGCTCGGAGAAAGAGCCTTCGAAACGGTCGTTCGGCCCTTCGGTACCTAGCGCAAGACCACGAATTCTCTCTTGAAACATCCATCTTGTGCGGATTGCAAACTCTCGGGCCTCGGCCGGCTCATGCGCCTGCTTGAATTCCTGACCATTCATGTACATGATGGCATTGTGGGCTGAGAAGACTCCACAGTCGTCGAGATTTGCTTGTTTGGCGGGCGTCGGGCACACGACATTCTATTTCGTGACCTTCCAACCACGCATAGAAGCACACAAATCTGCAAAACGTGGCAGCACTTCCCTGGCGTATTGCCTCCGCACATGAGCGGGAAGACTATCGACGAAGGTGATTGTTTCGGTGCTTGAGTCGATGCCAAACATCGTCCAATGTCCTGGAAATGCAAGGACAGCAACCACGCGAGTAGTGGACTCCTTGAGATTGAACGGCGCAGTAACCTTGTTATCGACATAGTTGTTGAGTTGAATGAGGGTTTGTGCAGTAGGCGTCGACAGTGGCAGGACAAATCCAACAACTGTAGGGTCAAGAAATTCTGATCCTTCAACAGAACTGTCTCGAGTGCCCAGATCGACCATATTGTGAATGGTGTTGTCATTCAACCATGAAGGCAGGCCCTTCATCAATGGAGACGAGGGCTGTAGAGCAATATACTCGTAGAGGTACATCTCGTGAACGAGGACATCTCGTAGCATGGACACCTTTGCAACGGAGATTTGTAAGTGTTCTGCCTCTTCGCGGAACTTCTCTTCGACGTCCAGGCAAGACTCAGCGAACACCCCCAATGGATTGTTGTGGGCAACATTCTTGTACAGATTGATCAGTTTTTGAGCGAGCACCTCCTCCTGTTCCTTTTCAAAGAGTTCCTGTTTCTTCTTTGATGCAAGAGTAGGCTCAAGATCAAGGTTAATGATGGTTTGTTTGTTTTGATCGGCAGAACCGACAGCGACCATCTCGGCGTCATCCTCCTCAACGTCATCTTCTGCATCGGTGTCCTCCTCGTAGCTGTCATCTGATTCGTCGCCAAAGTCAGAGTAGGCATAGTCAGACTCATCCGAAGAGTCTGATTCATCATCAGAGTCATCAAAACTAGAGCTAGACCCGTCAGGACTGGAGGCACCGGTCTCAGGTGGCAATGTGTTGCTGGTTTCTGCCTGCTGAGCAGCAGCAGAGACGGCGGCCTCATCGAGCTGCTCCACGGAAGACACAGGAGCGCCAGTGGCACTCAAGTCAGGGGCACCAGGCTGTACACCAGGGGGAGCGGCAGCGGCACGAGACTCCGACGATACAGGTGGCTCTGTAGCTGAGGGGGTACTTGAAGAGGTAGCTGTGGTGGATGGGTTCGTGAGAGAGCCGACAATAGCCTTGATAGTAGGCGTGAGAAATGCCTCTACATCTAAGGAGGTAAAGCGCTTGACGGTTGAGGGGTCAACACTCTCGGTGATAGCCTCGATGGTTTCTTCGACAGTTTTGGTCTCCTTCTGTTTCTTTCTCATGATATTGCTCTGACTCATGGTGTTGCTCTGATTCATGATGTCGTTCTGAGGTTGCTCGGTCTTGAAAAGATGGGCAAGTCTTTCCTTCACGTCCTTCTTGCGCCTGCTGCGACCGGGATTGTATTTCTTGTGCTTCGGACAGCGCCCATTAGGCTCACCGGGCCTGCAGTCAGGGCAGCCATCGGGCGCAATAGCCATCGTGGTAGTCTAATGGGTCAATCGTCAGTATGGACCAACGATAGCGGGGTAAGGGGAGGGGGCCAGGGGGAAAGGAGAGAGGTAGGTGGGAGGAAGGGAGGCGGCGAGGAGCACAGTAAACAGGCCCGCTATAGTGGGAACCAGGGGCAGCCAGAGGGGAGGGAGCGAGACTCAGTGGACGCTGCTCTGATTCTCGAAAGCACTGTGCATTGCGATAACCACATGCGTAGCAGGCTTTGGCACCAGGGAGCGAATGTGTAGTTGAAGAGCGAACTCAGGCGTACAGGACGGCGGCTGTGGTTCTTTGGGATAGCGAGGGGAAGATGCGACTTACTGTTTCTGAATGCCAATCGATGATAGAAAGACAAGGACGCAACTAGGTTATGGTTATGGATGAGACGGGTGTGCGCAATGGTTATGGTGCGAGGAAAGAGATTCGAAAGGCGAGAGCGCACAAAACAATTCGATAGACGACGCGATATTCCGTGTTATGAATTTTCGCGTCGTGTGGTGGTGTTGGTGGTCTTGGCGTGGTGACGGATTGGGAGACGTAAAGAACAATTATCGTGCTTCCGTTCGGCTAAGAGAAGTAGAGGGTTTGAAGAACAGCAGAAACACGGGAAATCCAAGATCAGACAAGCCGGGAGGAAGAGGGAGCCATGGTAGTCCCAGCCAGCTATCAGAAAAGAGATGGTTGCAAAACAACAGGGGTGTGGAGAACAATTGCAACATCGGTATAAATAAGATGCACTAATGATACCAGATATGGCTAACGAAGACTTACAGAACTGGTAAGAGGTCTCAAGAGGTCATGACAAGACAATGTTGCCAGAATCGCCTCGGCCGGTATGGTGCATCGTCTTTGCTTGAAGGTGTTTGCTTCAACTGATGCATGTCAGTGTCGAACCGATCAGTCAGAGCATGGAGATGCTGTCCTGATTGAAAGCTTGTATTACGCCAGAAGGCTTCCGATAGCGGGTCTTGCGGTCCTGGATTCCCTCCGTCCAGATCGTCGAGCCGTTCATGGCCCATTATCTGAAGCTGGCAATGTTCCTGAAAGAAAGCATGATTTCCTCGGGATGATGGCCATTGTATCTGTGAAAGTCTCCTCCCTATTAAGCTCCTAGGACAAAGCTGCGTCGATTATGGCCGGGCTTGAAAGCGCACACTTGAGCAACTATTGTGGTTATAATGGATTAGCAAGATGTAATAAGCATTATGTACCATATTCGCTGGTCCCAAGACAGTGGCATGATGTATCAAACCTCCCTCCCTTCATCTCTAGCCTAGTTGCGTGAGACGCTGGGCTGCTGAATTGCTGAGATGCGTGCATGATGCTGCCTTGCTCTGTCTGAGAAGTAGGCTTCTCTTTGCAAGCGACGTTGATTGCACAGGACGTCCAAGCGTCTCGCAGGCACAAGTCTCGGCACTCCCACTCCAGCAAACTGATGTCTGGTCCTACATCTTGCTTCCTACCTTATTCCTAACATGAACATAGATCACCAGCGATTGCGAATGCATTTTTGAATTTGTGCTGTTTAGTCGCTACACAGAACTCGAGAAAGCACAGCTCTTTCCACTTGGTGCAATCAGTAAGACGGGAGCATGTGAGGGTGAACTTGATGGTAGTTGCGAATACGAAGCGCCTCAGTGAGATCCATGGTCCCAGCCTCCTGATGGTGATGTAAAAGATCAATAGCCTCAACATGTGGTCTACATTTCCTCTGGCTCCTCCCTGGACTTTATCTCGAGCATGTTGGACTTCATCAGGGTTGGCTATGGAGAAAGCGCCAAGGGTCGCGGCTTTTCTCGATAAGCGAAATCCGGGGCCCACTGCCAAGACCAATTTTGGGATTGACAAGCGCTCCTGCTTTTCGCAGACTGTTTTTGCTCTCTTCGCCCGCGACTTTTTACACGAACGACACGCAACATTCAAGATGGTATGAGACTCCTGCTATCCACCGACGACGCACGCACGCACGCACGCTATCAAGCATCACCCACTCGACATTCCCTGGACGGCCATCTGCTGGTTTCGACCGCCGCCTCGCTCGATTGCGCATCACTCGGAAGATTCTGTCCATCTCGCTCAGTCTCGCTCTGCGCGCAATCGCTCCGTTCTGCGTTCGATCCAGCATCTAGCCGCTCAATCCACCCCTTCACGAAACGCGCACCTTTCACAACAATCCAATGCGACATCGACTAACACATCATCTCTCTCCAGGTCCGTTACGCCGCTACCGAAATCGAGAACGCCAAGAGCGCCCGCGCTCGCGGTTCCTACCTCCGTGTCTCTTTCAAGAACACCCGCGAGACCGCTCAGGCCATCAACGGCTGGAAGGTCACCCGTGCCCTCCAGTACCTCGAGAACGTCAAGAACCACGCCGAGGCCGTCCCCATGAGACGTTATGCCGGGAGCACTGGCCGCACCGCCCAGGGTAAGTCTGCCAGCTGCGAGGATGCATATGGGGATTGAAAGTCCACCTGGGAGTAAGAACACACATATTGATATCTTCCAAAGNGCAAGCAGTTCGGTGTCTCCAAGGCCCGCTGGCCCGTCAAGTCTGCCGAGTTCATCCTCTCGCTCCTCAAGAACGCCGAGGCCAACGCCGACACCAAGGGTCTTGACACCTCCAACCTGATTGTCAAGCACATTCAGGTCAACCAGGCCCCCAAGCAGCGCCGCCGCACATACCGTGCCCACGGTCGCGTACGTCTCACTTCTTACTCATCCATCACCCCCATCGACTAACACCCTCTCCAGATCAACCCTTACATGTCCAACCCCTGCCACATTGAGATGATCCTCACTGAGGGCGAGGAGGTCGTTCAGAAGGCCCCTGAGGCTGCCGGTCGCGAGACTGCCCGCCTCAACACCCGCCAGCGCGCTCAGCGCAACCGCCGCGCCATCACCGCCGCATAAATGCATCAACCATTGCGTTCGTGACGTTCGAATGATGAGAGATCGGTCTGGGAAAAGCGGTTATGGGAAAACGGACTATCTACCAGCGATAAAAGACAAAAAGCGGTGTTGCCCCCAAACTTTCCTTTCACGTTCTTCTTGCATGGTGTGCATTATGACGGAAAAATTGGCGTTTCTTATCTCGAACCAAAATGATATCCCTGTGGTTCGTTGTGATGGCGGCACCCATGCAAAAAGTTTCTGCTTCTTGACCTTGTTCATGTGTGATATCTCTGTCTTTCTCGATCGTACCTCTAGATGTTGTCGTCTTGTGCGCAACGCGTTGAGACTGGCATGGCACTCTGCCTCCACCATGCTATTGTCTCCAGTCAACTATGTCTTCAACATCACTGCCCAAGAAATCCCGTCATGTCATCAGCATGGGTTAAGTGTCGATGCTTGCGATCAGTTTTCGAAGTTGGACATGATCGCAAACATTTTAGAATCTTCCATGTTCACAGGAATCGCGACAGCTGTCATAAAGGATTGCAATACGAGTTCTACAGACGCAAGCGGGACAAAGAATACACAGTCTTTTTTGGCAGGCTTATAGTAGAATGCTAAAGATATACAGTAAGCCCTAAAGACAGTCGTAGTCCTTATAAGATTGTCAAAAGCGGTAAAGACAGTGTTGCTTGAATAGAAAGTATCCATAAGACTTTTTCAGTGAGCAGCATCGACAGCAAGCTTTGAAATACAGATGATATGTTTAGAAATAACAAGAAAGAACTACAATTTACTAACGTCATTTGTTAGGTACCAAATACGAACTTTTGCTTGCCATTATCACATTATGACGACTTCTTGTACAAACGACTGAGGGGTTTGGAAGCATCAGACACATCAAGGGCGATATTTAGAAGCAAAAGAGTGTATTATAATTGGTAAGTACTCGGCTTCTCTCCTATTCTCCTTGTCCCCATTCCTCGTCGCTCCTTGCTCTCCCCACTGCATACCCGTCTACATCCTGGCCGTACTCTCAACTTCCATATCTTTGCAGATATGACATCTAAAACTCCCAGGTCTTGACGACCTTGTACTGGCCATTGTTGTTGACGCAGTCGTCCTTCTATATCACAAAGCCAATGGTCAGCATTCTACTCATCTCCTATGCTTCAGCAGCTCCACAAAAACATACCTCATAGTTAGGGTTGTAGACAGCAAGGTGGTTGTAACTACCATCTCCGTTGTGGAGGGCAAAAGATGCATCACCACAATCGGTCAAATAGTAGGTGTATCCATTGGAGAGGGTAAACTTCTTGCCGCAAGGGTTGTCGCCACCGTTGGCGAGGAAGGTCCACTGGCAGGCATCTTCGCCCTTGATCCATGCGACATCGTAGGTGGTACCCTTGAGATTGCCAGAAGTGAAGGTGGAGGTGCCGGTAATGATTGTTGCAACGGCTTGCTCTGCGAGAGCGAGAGCGGCGACGGCAAAGACGGTGGTGAACTTCATGGTTGCTGGATTTAGTTGGTTAAGGAAGGGGATGAGATGCGGTGTTGGGTCTTGTTTGATTGTTGTTGCTGAGTTGATGTTGAGGTGGGTGTTTGAATGAGGTCTGGCATCATCCTACTTATACTTCCAACTTGACATTGACTGTCATCATCGTCGTCGCTCTAGAGCATGATCTTTCTCCCGTTTCGGCTCAATGTCAGTGGGAAAGATTAAGACCCTCACCGACGCCTTCAACAATCGTGAATGAGACTCTCGTAAGCTATGGCGATACGAAGTCATCGATACGAAGTGATGGTATGACGAGACACTAGGAACGTGAGCTCAACTTGGACGAGTCTACTGGCCGTGCTCGAGTCCGTTGGACATTTCATGGCTTGCATGCTGCTTAGTCCTAGCTCGGTAAAACCTTTGAGTTTCTGCAACACTCGAGATATGCAGATGAAACTGCGCTCGCTGTAGCGGGGCAATGATACTTCGTAGAGGCTCAGCAGTAGCGAGCACACAAAAGTGTGCATTGAGTCTAGCATACTGTACGTCGTACGCCAGGATGACTGACTCTTCGAGCGAGTCCAACGGTTGTCGGCACCAGGTGAAAGCGTTGCCGGCCTGAGTACACAATCTCAACATCGCTTGGTCTGTCTCTAAGAGACAGATTGACTGCAGTGTGTAACTGCATTGCTCATGTTTTCGCGATAGCAGCTACTCAGCATATCCCACACCGATGGTGAGTTTGCATTGTGAAGTCCGTGATAAGCCACTCAGCGACTAGAATCGTGATGCTGAGGTCGAACTATCATAATCAACAAGCATTATTGACCGGTCAAGCTCGAAGCTTGGAGCCCTCATGCGAGCCTTGATTATTTGCCAAGCGACAAGTCTGTCTCCGACATAGAACGGATAATATCGTGTTGCTTTAGGCGTCAGCACTATCCTGTTGTTGACGTGAAGAGCCGCCTGATCAAGTCGCTTACAGCTGTTCAACGGTGGAGACTCCAGATGCTAGACTTTCTGGACAAGCGTCAATCACTAAGTGTCATATGTGCTCATCGGTCACCAGTCGAGCTGTCGAGATACGACAGAGGATGGAAAGTCTAGACTCCGTGCGGCTGTACCTGCATGCTTGACTGTAGGTGCAATAAGCTTGCACTTGTGCGACCGACAAAGGAGCAGTCCAGGCTCATCGCCGTGTTTGGTCAGGATGCTGTATGAGGTCCCGCCACGATGCAGATTACTCTTCGTACAACTCTGCATCGCTTGTAGTACAAGCATTAATCACCGCTTGGTGTCAGTCATGCACGTCAAATGATATTCTGCAATGCCGAAACTCCGTCTCGTCGGTAGCAGAGTGTCGACTTGTGATGCACGCTACGATATCGTAGCATTGGAAGGGTTTCCATCTTCAAGCTTGCTGTGACGGTGAGCTATTAGGAGAGCAACCCGCTTACGTAACATTGACGAGCTACGCGCCTGTCGGCTGATAGACCATCAAGTCAAAACAGACAGCCATCGTGTATGTCTTGCAGTTGCAAAGCTCGATTTCTCTCATGTTGGAGGGATGTCGTCGATAACAAGTCTGTGCTTGAATTTGTGCAAACTTTATGCACTGCGCCTTCCAACTCAACTCCATTAACTCTTTGTAGACACAGGTCTACTGAACCGCACTTTCTCGTGACCGAGTCATGCAAACGGCTTCAAAGATGCACCTAAATCGAGTGGCAGAAGCTACACACGCCACATACTCGTGGCTACCGGCTATGAGAAAGCATCCATACAAACAGCAAGTGGTCCTGCAGGTGGCTGGCTGCCGGCAAATGTTCTAAATCAGCTCTCAATGTCCTCAGAGACGGACAGTACGCTATCACAAGATCTGAAAGTCTCATTATCCACTTACAGTACTGATAACAGATTCTGCAGCCACATGGCTTGACTGGACGTTTTCAACGTCGTAGGGTCATGATCTGGATGATAAGGTGGCTCGATTCAGCCTAGAAGCCAAACAGCTCTCCTGAGATACCTCGACACTGTGCTCAGATCCGTGAGATCAATTTGAGCCTCAGCATCTCACATACAGCAATCCTAGCAGCCGAGGGCATTACCTATATGAAAAAGGGAACAAACTTCCAGATTCATCGACCTATTGATTTCTATCTTCTGCAAGGGTACAACTTGGACTTCAGAAAGTAGCGATGCCACACTCGTGAGTTGTCAAGGGGCACAGTATGGCGAGAGAGAGACGTAGGATGACGAGAGAGGTATGACGAAAGAAGTCTGTCGGAAAGAATCAGCACATACGCAGCTCTGAAGAGCACTCCTGGCACAATTTCTTCGTGATCGGCAATCTGAAGCTCATAGCCTCGAGTCTGGTCAGGGGCATGCATGGTCGTCGATTCACAATCAAGTACTCTGCAAAGCGCATCAACCAGTATGACAAGAACAGTGTGTCAAGACGATGATTGGTGTAGGAATAATGATAAGCATTTTGCCATCTTGAAATCATTACAAGATGTGTAACCGTTGGTCAAAAAGACGAGAATCAAACAGCTTGAGCTGCTCAAAGACGTCTCGTGAGCGTCAAGAATGAGAAGAATAGAAGAAGAAAGGAAAACCAAAAACTCCCAGTGGGAGGCACGACCTCTACCACCATTCCCAATGCCCACAATCCCTCGCTCACATTTGCTCAATGATCATGGAACTCGGAGAAACCATACCATCGATGACGCCAGCATCATCAAGCCCCATATGTGTCCACAACATCCTGCAATCGTCACCAAACACGTTTTCGCTGTAAGGGAAACTTCTCAGTGTCTTCTCGAAGTGTGCCAAACTGTGAATCTGCAATCTCATGGTGACTTGTCTGGTAGTCGTCAGGAAAGACTCCAGCATGTAAGTCGGCATCCATGTTTCTCCTGTCGAGCAAACACTGATGGCTGCAGATGAGGCTTGGAACAGAACCCACAAAAGGGAGTCGAGCTTTGCGGTCGACTCCCATTGTAGAATGAGATCCGGCTTGAGACCGTTCCACAGACGATAGACTAGTTTTGATTGAATGGTGTTGATGACTGTGTTGAAGAGGGCGCGCATGTTGACCAACGAGGGCATACACGTCCAAGTGCTGAGTTGAGCACCCAAGATCAACATATCTGTGTCGCTACATTCGGTATGTGACTGGCTGTCTGCAATCGAATTGCACAACTGGTACACAATAGTGTAGAAGGCATTTTCAACAGCCAAGAAATGTGCTTCTTCGCTCAATGTGGTATCGAAAGACAGACAGAGTTGATGAAGACGGTTGAACAAATCATATGCCAACTCAGATGTTAGTGTTCCTGAGGTTGGGATCATGCGTACGGTCTCCAATGAGAGACGGTGAGCTTCGGTATTCACTTCGGGAGGGAATGTGGCGTTCACCGATTCCAGACGCAAGCCATATTCAAGCATGGGTCTCTCCAGAAGCGCAGACGCTAGCTTTAGGTCGTTCCAGATTGTGTGACGCCATTGTGTGTATCCAAATGACTGAAGACCACCAGCCTTGGTAACAAGATCGGTCACGCATCGCATATGTGTTTTTGCAGCATCGTACTCCTTGTCGCCCAAAGCCAAATTTACTTGGATGGCCACCAGCATGACGAATGTGTCTGTTGATGTTTCCGCCAAGCCTGTAGTGTCATCCNNGCTGTCAAATGTCAGTATAGCGCTCGGACTCGCAATTTTCCACAACTTACACGGCAGAGACATGCCATTCATCCCTGTGAACTGGGGAAGACTTGACAATCTCGAAACACCCTGAGAAACTGCACGCATGGCAGCAATCTTGTGCTCAAAGTAGCTGATTTGGTTTCGATCTCCAGTAAGGACACTGCGTTTCATCTCCGCGATGCACAGTAGAACATGAAATAGCGGTGTGCTTGTAAGTGCAATGCTCCACAGACCCCTTCTGAAATGGCTGTCGACTTTGTCAAGCCAGAGAACTTTGCTCTCCCAGATATTGTTGCGATTGAGGGGACGGTGAAAGTGCCAAGTTGCCAGTTGATCTACAGCAAGGCCGTTCAAGGGGAGTGTATTGAACGGATCCCAACGGTGAACAGCAGGACTGTGCAGAAAAGGGTTTGGTGCTTGAAGTAGGGCAGACTCGTCAGACTGGAAAAACACGGGTGACGCTCGCGAGTTGATTTGAACAAGGGAAGTGGGTTGTGGTGAGGCCTCTTCAAACACGTCCGGAGAAGGATGAGAGTGTGTGACTGAGAACAAAGGCGATGATGAATCGGTATAGACGATTGAGTCGGTGAAACCAATTGGAGACGAATCAGCAGTATCGTCAAGAGATGGGGTGCGACTAGATGATACTGATTTGGCTTCTGGGAACTCTTGAAGAAATACCAGTTCGGTGGATGAGGCAGATGACTGGCGATGTAGTTGAGGATCCTTGCGAGCTCGTGATGGTCTTTTTACGGATGAGCGCTTGGGGCGCGGCTGAGACGCAGCCTGACGAGTGTTGGTATCTCGCCGCCGGGAATTCTTGGTCTTTGCAGCTGAAACTTCTGGCGCAGCAACTTCTTCTGGAGGAAGGCCGTTATCTGCCTCCCTTTGGCGCCGAAANAAGTCATGCATAACATGCTGTCTTACGGTTGGCAAAGATTGCTTGGCTTCGACATCTGGTTCGCCCGTATAGTTGACAAACACGAACTTGCCCACAGCCGCCATGGTTAGTTCTTTCTCTGTTTTCGTTCTCTCACACCCAGGGCCTCGATCAAACGATGATCGGACACTGTTTCTGCTGCGGTTTGCCTCTTGTTTGCTCCACTTCTCCTAGAGACTGGAACTTGGACCAGGAGAGAAAAAAGCCGTAAAGGGGAAAAGAGCAAGACTGCAAACTCGAAAAGGAAAAAGGCAGTGAACTTGGGCCCCGGCGAGTCCGTGGGTATAAGAATACGGAGTAAGCAAGGTTCGGTGAGCTATTGGGATCATTAACCCCTTTGGGCAAGTTCCCCGCGAATGCGACCCGCAGGTTGTGTTCCAGACTGTGATTGGATGGTGACACTTGAACAAGAGAGATGAACGACTCTAGTGTTCAGTGTGAGATTGTCGACTTCCAATCAGCCAGTATAGATCCTGGTCTTCTGGCGAACTTGGAGATCCTCCAGCGATATCGTGTGCAATGAGTGTTGAGGACCGGTCAACGATTGCGGCAAACAACGTTCGTGCCAGGGGTTGTAAACTTGTCAGCTGCGAGCTGAAGGGCTGGAGCTTCAGGTGTCGCCGAACCGCTTCTTGCCAGACCTCGGTCGTCGGGGAGAATGCTCCGGCGAAGCTCAGAAAGTCGAATGGTGCTTGTCAAAAATTTCTATCCAAGACATGAATGTCAACAAGAGTCCATACTTGTACATTGTGATCGTCCAATACTGACCTTGTTAGGCGAACAGGGACAACACCTCAGCGGAGTATTGCATCCACTCTATGGTCACACGATACGGTGTCACTGGGGGCGTAATATTTGTGTCCTTTTCGAATCGCAACAAGGTATAGAAGATCGACAGTAGTGGGTAGTACAGGACGGGACGTGGGTGCCCTTTTCTCCTCCTCAGTAGTCAGGCAATGTTTGCTCTATTGCAAGGCTGAGCGTTTTGGATTACCATATGATGTCTTGTCGGAAAGGTTTACAGCTCCAAAACTGTCACGACTCTGCATCACAAAGATGAATGCTACGAGCCGACATGAGATACTCGGAGTAGCCGGCGGTGTGCCCGACCGCATCAAAAAGTCGCTTCTCGCAACATTTGCCGCAACTGACACGCTTGCTCGCAGCATATGGCTGGGCGGACGGAAGATGGCAGCTGAGAAAGGATAATCTCGGCCTCTCGCTACGACGCAAGGTAGGGGCTTGTGTGCAGGAAAAGGCTCAATGAACGGTAGGGATGATTTAACCGATGTCCATATTCTTGATATATAACTCTATGTAGCATGCGAACTGCCGTTCGAGCCGGCGGCGTGTGTTCGAGACCTAGGTTTACCAGTCAGCATTCAAGGCTTACGTGCAGCAGTCTTGGACGAAAAGGGTAATTGATGAAAGATCAGAAGGTCTCCAAGCATTTTCTCGACATTGTTTGTTTCCGAACAGGTCTGTGAATTTTGCGCAGGAATTTCATCACCTCGATGGGCTGGGCATGATAAAGAAGAAGATGCTTACCTAGTGATTGGCAGGGGTGTGTTGACCGGTCCACAAAGCTCATCACAATCAGCTGTCGCGTTGCAGATCGCACTGCCGAGGCACGCCATACGACGATGAAAGCTTTCAGTATATCTCTCAGCGGCGCATGCGAAACCACGACGGCGATGCAGCAGCAGGCAAGAACTCTTCTTGATGATGGAGAAGAAAATTGTTGATTACAATTTGAAAATCTTTTTTGAAGCTCGCGCTGCAGCCGCAGTTCTACCGATTCTCTTGGCAATGACAACTGCGCGCGCTTCTTGAAGTCGTCGGTGTCTCGCAACAACAGAGTAAGTCGCGTTTCCCTCAAAGACACGCGCCTGTTGCAAGTCACGCAAATGTGAGACGACAACACGGATCGGTTATTCAGCTGTCTCGTCTCGCAAAGACCACGGTTTGTTCCCTCTACAGCATCGATTCCCGAGCACATTGCACACTCACATCAGGCTTGTCATATTTCACTCTGCTTTGGTTTTTCAACAAATACCATCGTCAATCCCTGCAGTGTTGCCGTTCATCACGCGCACGTCACAATCGGCGATACGCCTGAAATGCTCCCTCACTGCAGCAAGAAGCGTGACAGAGACGACGCGCTCGACACAGCTCTCTTCCCAAGCCCGAAACGCGTCAATCACAGCGCAGATCGACCTCAAAGCCATGCGAACATGCATCCAATCGCGAAAGAGTCTGCAGAGTTCGCAACAAGATCACTATCGCCTGATGGTGGCGTTGCTCTTGATGAGGAATCTCTGGCCAAATTTCGCAGCTATCGCCATATTGTGCTCAGTGACAAAAGCTCTAGCGACGATCGCCCACCTCGAGGAAGACTAAATGGAACAAAACAAGTCATCGAGCCTCTTCAGCGCCGCAAAGACCCTTCTCAACCTCATGCCAGCCACCAGTCTGGCCCCGCTCACCAACATATCACCAATAACAACCAGAGAGCAATTTCGCCCTTTGCTTCGGCGTTGCCGGTGTTCGATCACAACAGAGGCAATCATGTGGCCGAGCCTGGCTCGTCGTCAGTTGTCTATCAACCGTTCAGAGGATTACAATTTGCGCAACCCCTAGAATCTGTGATGCTGAACCCAAGAATCGACATGGCCGTTGAGNGGGGTAAACTATACCTGGCTCAGACCCTACATCACTACTACCGTAATCACATCTACTGTTCTCAACACGGCTCTGTCGATGAAAAACCTGGTCACAACCGCGCGGTAAAGAAAGTGCACGAAACCGGTCGAGTACATCGTATGTGGTTCTGTACATCACAGCCAAAGGGAGAAGGCCATCGTCTTGACAACACCGAGTACATTGAGCTCGCGAAAGAACAGCTGGAGCAGGCTTTGTTTGATCGAGTCCTCCATGAGCTCATCCGCCAACTCCATGACAAAGACTGTCAACCAGTTGGACGCAGCCGCTCGCCTCAGTCTGACGATTTTGACTACTTTGCTTTATTGCAATACGTCGACAGCCAAGGCCTTGATATGTCTGTATTCAACAAGAGATTGGCCAATTGAGCAGTGTGCATGAACGGGGATTGCTCCTCTTGAAGTTTCGGCTACGTGTTATACACTATCGGCTTACGGTTATTTCCCCGGTTGTGATGCTCCGCGTCACCTTCTAATCAGTATCCCACTAGAAGAACAACAGACTGTGTGTGGAGAAGTATCATGCAGACTTTCGATCGCTCAAAGCGAGATACATGTTGATGTTCTCTATGACATCTTGTTATAAGAGGTGACAGTATTGCTGTTTGCGGGTTGATTCGGTTTAAGCGAACAGGCGGTCTGATTGCATGCTACCGGTCATCTTGTTTACTTGTACATGCTCTTACCCGCCCTTCTGCTGACATTTGTTAGAGTCTCACGTCGGATTTCTGGAGAACAGCACGTGTTTGAGAGTGTTCGATGCCCCAGCACCATCAAGAGGGTTTGCATCCAGTCGACTTGAGGTCACACATCGGTCGAGCAACATCTTGTGTCGAGTTAGGTCTGTGCTTCACTGGTCATGGGATCAATATCAGTATCTTTCGCGTGCACTACTTTCGAGCTCAAACGAAATATCCCGTCTTCAGCTATTGACTACAACCTCTCCAAAAACATCATACTCGCTCAAGCAGGAATGTTCTCTACGCAACAGACAGATCTCCTTCGCCAAGTCCTGTTCATGAGCATGCCCCTGACGAAGTGAACACAGCTAGGCTAGAGCGATACATCTATCAATCCTTGTTTAGGAAGTGCAACTTTCGTGTGACTCGATCAGCAGCGGATATGAGGCTTTGGAGAGTATGCCAAAACTGTTTGACAAACATTGTCAGAACCACCGCTGTCCATCCCTGTAACGCTATCGGTAAATGCTACAAGGATGTCTCCTCGGGCACGTTGAACTCGCTCTCTGCTTTTGCTTCGCAAATTCCGGAACCCGTCTCCATGCTGATATCTGAATTTCTACTTGACAATGGCCAGTAAACCTCATGGTCATGATACATGTAACCCAAGCAAGATAACCAACCACATACACCATGTCCCACCAAACCAGAAGAGAAGCGCGCTTGATTGTTTTATGGAAGCTGTCCCCGTCCTTGATGTTGAAGTCGGTGTCACAACACATTGTCGCCTTCATTCATACTACAGCGAAAGTCATCCGGACCATGGACCTAACCAGCGGTCCCACTCTCCGGGACACGCTGGTTATGATACAACGCTGCAAGCAACTACTAGAGTTCAAGACATGGTACAGTAACGACGACCTGCTACCCTCCGGTCACAGTATCATGCATTCCGCACGTATGATGCTATTTCCCCTAGCTATCAGATGCAGGTGGTAGCTGAGACTCGCCTGTACAAGCGACATGTGATACAAGGGAATCGAGTGAGGTAACGGCAATCTATCTTGATGTTTGATCTTACAGTCATGGCCAAAGGTCTTTGTTGTCACATACTGAATTACGCTTTCTCGTCATAGGCGTAATTCATCTTAAGGAAAGAGATTGATTGGCATCGCGCCTTCTTTATCTACATCGGGTGTAGCGGAACTCAAGAGGTACGAACTTCATTTGCATTCTAATGGTCATGACACTCTCGCCCTATCTCGTCTCATAAGCTATAGGCTTTCAGCTGATACTCTATGCGTTCTACTCGAAGCTGGTCCACCTTCTCTTGCTTCAAAGACTTTTCCAATGATCTTGACTATCAACTGTACGAGTTTGTCTACGCCTGATGAAGAGAGGATTAAAATAGTATTTGTCCTCCAGTCGACAGAATGACACTGTTCGTAGACGCGTGAAATGTATTGCGAGCGGACGTAAAAGGCCGACACGACAGGCAGAACATGCATGAGACCTGTTACGCGTGTACTCACATGATACGTTGGTGCTGTAATCAATCCTATAAGGGTCTTCAAGATACCTGGATGTTGTGTTTTTGGTTAGTCTTGAGCAGGGTCGTCCCCCCAACAGCTTTACGAGCATTGGAAAATCTCCATTGGCGGTGAGATAAGGAAGAATTGCTTTATTGGATATCAGAGGTCCATGATCTATGGTTCAGATAGCTGCCTAGCGCTGGAAAGACTCGATAAGTTATGAGGATGGCGAGTTCTGTGCAAGTCTACGTTCTTGCTGTCAGTGTCCTGATCACACCCACGAAAGGAACATATCAAGAAGAGGATGAGCAACAAAGCATAATGATTCACTCAGAACAAGGGTTTAACAAAAGAGAGACACGACTCCCGAGTGCCTTGGTGATTGACATGCATGGAAGCAAAAGGGGACCTGCTCCTGTAAGTCTACTAGAAGTGGATCAACGACAAAAGAAATCTCCTCTCTCTGAGTCGAACAAAGGACCTTCTGATGACAATCGAACAATTACAGTCAGACGCTCTAAACCAACTGAGCTAAGAAGAGATTGATGGAGTTGATGTTAAAATTTTGCATATATATCCCTATTGCGATGAGTACTGATCAACAAATCGTCAGTCCCGACAAAATGACCTTCCATACTTAATATACCTCGAGACGAGCAAGACCATTCAGATAGTAAAGCCGAACTTGGTTGTCTAAACCTCATGGAAAATTGTTGAGGTTGGCCACCACAACTACGAGCAACCGAGAACAGCAATTACAACTGCCGTCTAGCCATGCTTTCCGATACCCCGGACCGTCGCTTGTCAATGCCATATCAAAAAATGCATGTTGGCTTCAATCCGTCCCACCGTCCACATGAGATCTTCTGCTGTGGGTTGAGTTTCGGAAGACCCTCGGTGCGTCTTTCTTTATTCTCCCCATAACCCCGTTGGTCCGTTGATCTACAAAATGGAAGAGACCTTTTTGGACACGAAAAAGAAGGGCAAGAAATTCAGAAACAAGGGACTCGAAAGCGGAACGAGGTCGATAGGCTTTGGAGGGGTTCAAGGGTCCTCAGTAGCGACTTTTCTCCGTTTGACGCCAACATGACAGACTTGCCAAGGTAGAGACAGCATCCTGGTCCGCCACATCTTGTGTAGCTTCAGAAAAAACTACAGGGCATGTGCATCTGCATCAGCGTGCATGTTGCGTGTTTTGCTTCGGGGGCTTGTGAGCGAGCAAGAGAAGAGTGAGTCTCGGTCCGTCACAGCAGGGTCGCAGATGCTCGTGCAGAGTCGGAGCTTCGAACTGTCTACCGTTCCGTTTCCATGTGCGCTGGGGCGGGCACTGCGGGAGAGGCTTGGTCTGCATAGTCAATTATTGGTAAGATGTCGTGTGTCCGTTAAGCCTCAACAATGCTTAAACGAGGCTCTACAAAGCCATTGGCAAGTCAAACCCGAAGGCAGGTCCAACAAAGCTTTGATCGTGTGATGAAGCGAATAAACTGTAGATGGCAATCTATCTTGCAGGTTGCAACAGGCGGTCTGTTGATTCTCGTTTGGAGATCAGTAAACACACAATTTACTGAGCATGCTCAGTGGGGTATATCGATCTACTAGAGTACCATACGTATTGTGGAGCGGTGGACGTTGTGGATGTGAATATCACTCCTGACTATCGTCTCATGTCCTGCGCTGTGCAGCGACGCGTACACACTGCAAATCCTCTCCGAGTCAGACAAAGATGGCTCTAGTTCTAGATGCGCCCTCCAGGTCCGTAGCACTATCGTACGAGTGTTGCATCTACGCTGCGCACATGCTTTGTCAACCATTCCATGTCCTGTATGGCTTGGGGCAATTTCCGTGTGTGCACTTGGTCCGCGGCGTGGTTTCAAAGCTATTGTACGAAGCGGCGGCGGCGGCAGCGGAAGGCGCCATGCATCCCAGTCTGCCACGTTGGTCTTCTGGAACAAACGGCAATAATATAGATAGGTTGGCAATAGGCGAGATATGACGGGGCGTTTGATGGTTGCTCCAGCCATGCATACCATAAAGTGTAAATTGTTCATTTAGTAGATTGAGTATAGATCTTAGGTAATGACTACCATCGTTTTAAGCTTAATGACTCGCATGGGCTTCGAGGCAGCTCGAGCAGAGCAAAGCCGCACACCCAACCACTTTGTCGGGCAGCTTTGTTACAGCTTCGCTCTTGGTGCTTGATGTGTAGAAGCAAGACCTAGATCTTCGACGATGCCTCGAGCGATGCCTCTAGCGATCGCCATACCTGTGATCATCGGGTTCACTCCGCTCGCTCCTGGGAACACAGAAGTGTCTGCTACATAGAGGGATTGTGTTTTCCACACAGCACCCCGCGAATCCACGACACTGTTAGTGGGCGAAGAACCCATCCTCGCCGTACCCATTTGATGAGCTGACACCTGCCCAGCATCCCCTGGCAACCCGTTGACAGTAAACAGTTCCAGACGGGAGAGCCACTTCATGAACTCGGGGTCGTTTATGCTTGCCGTGACTCCAGCATCTTCCCCAGTCTGGCTGGCATCGATCGCCGATGAGTACGTTTTGACAGATTCGCGGCGTATGAAGGGAGGCACGCCTGCAACACCGACGTGAATCTCGCGTGCCCCTTCGACAAAGGCGATTTTAGCCAGTGCGACAAGGCCGACTGCAATGTTCTTCTGATCCGACTTTGATGTGTCGTACTTGACTCTGACTCGGTATTTGTCTTCCGGATCAGCGTAGACTTCACCTTCGCCTTTGTCTCTGGCGAGCGAAATCCAGCCTGCCATACGCTTGAACTTGGCAGCATGCACCTTCCATTCCAGACCAGAGTTCCACTGCATCAATGGAAGAACCAAGCTAGGAAGCATAGTGACGCATTCTAATTTGCAGCCATAACCTGTTGAATCAATATTCTCGTATTCGTTGACGACCGAGGTCAGAATACCACCTTCCCACGGCATGATGTCTTTATCAAAGACGCCGAATAGAGTGTTGACGGGATGCAATTTCAAGTGCTTGCCAAGATGGGGATTCTGGATACCGCTCCTCTCGAGAAGCAGCGCGGTGCCTCCAAGTGCGCCGGCAGCTACGACCACGGCACGCCTGGCGTAAATTGTGACCGGACGCCTATACACCTTTCCAGACACGCCGCCGGATT